CTGAAAGTTCTTTCGGCAAAGTCTTTGCAACAAGTGCCTCCCTGTGAAGGAAGCAGTGAGTGCATCGCACGTTAACGTTTTGCGCTCTGACCCTATTGATGAAACCCTTTGCACTACCCATCATGGCAGCGGCCCCGTCTGTGCAGACACTTACACACTTCTTCCAACTTAATCCTCCCTGTTCAAGATACACAGTTGTCACACGATAAATCTCCTCTCCAGTTGTTCTGTTCTGTCGGTTTGCAAAATAAAAAATTCTCCCTGATATGGTCCCATTCCACAAATCGAACATTTGCCAAGAGTTGAGCATGCCCACTGACGTCTACTGATTCGTCAACTTGTAAGGAAAATTTTGCGCTAGACCAGGTTTTCAATATCTAAAGACATGTCATTGATTCGCCTTCCAATTGTAGAGTCCGACAGCGGAACCTTTTGCTGTTTGTGTGCATAGCATTTTGTTGACAATTGCTGTGCATGTTGGCAACATAGCTGTCTCTGCAATCGTGTGTGGATTCTTTGCCTTAGCTACTGTCTCGGCCACTAAATAGCTAGCCTCCAGTGCTTTCTCTGACACTTTTGCACACTTTATCATCACTTGCTCTTGTCATTTGTGTTGACTTTTCAAATGAGCAAAATACTCTGCATCCTTGCTTACTAGTGATGGATGATTTGTTGTCAGGTGTCTTTTCAGTTTGCTCAGAACCATTGCTTGGTTTGACAATTTCATACCACATACCAGGCGTAAAGGGCATGATGAATCTCCAGTAAAGATGAAACCATACGACAAGTAGCTGTCATCGTACTGTCTTTTCTTGGTCTTGCCGCTGGCCTCTACAACCATTGCTGATGATGAAGTTGATGGCTCAGATTCAAAGTTATCTGATTCTGGAGCCTTTCTTTTCAAAAACTGCTACACTCTCGTAACCACGCGCAGTGGTGTTATGGGGTCGCCGGGGTCAGCGTAATGTTGCATTCCAACACCTCGGAACTTCCATGGTTCCATTGTACATTTTTAAGTTGGAAGTCTGATATGTCCAAGTTCCGAGTAGCTTTGACGCTGACCATCGCGTTGATGTTGTGACATGGTAAAAGGGGGTTTGTGCCACATTCTGATGACATCAGAATGTGGCACAAAGCCCCTGTATGAGACTGCTAATGCTCTGCATTTTATAAGTTGCGTTAATATGGAATTTTAATTTATTTTATTATTTTTCATACATACATTTTCATACGTTCTCACGCAACACATCGATTTTCTCAACTGTTAATAACGAGTCGGGGCGAGTAACTCCACCCAGCTGATGCGATGCGATCTCGCACTGAGTCGTGGTAAATAACTTTTTTTTTGCAAAATAACATCTGAAATCTGAGGTGCAGACTTCCTTTGTTTGGGACTGTGAGCTGCACTTTATCTGAGGTGCTGAAGTGAACATTTGTGGTGAGATTTCTGTCTGATCCATGGTTTGAATTACAGGGGGGAATGGGGGGGTCTGACCCCCTAGTTAAGGCTTGGACCCCCCCAGGTTAATGTCAGTAGTTTGAATGCAGACTGTATTTTATGTGTCTTTAGTTTTGTATCAACACTATGTTTTCAGCGGTCATGATGGTCTGCTGTTGTGTGTCTGACTTGCTGGCAGTTTTGCTCTAGAATACTAAAAAAGCTGTTGTATGTATGGTACCATCAACTGGTGTAATGAATTTGATTTATCATCATCCACAGACTGATGACATTAGTAAAACAAGCAAGGATATTGTAAGCGTTGTAAGATTTTAGTTCCTGTGCTGTACTGGGTTTTCTTTTGGATCTGGAAAAAAAGTTATTGTCACTGTATAATTCGCATCCTGGTTTGATCAAAAGTGTTTCAAGAAGTTTCGTTTATCCACCTCCTCCTCTCATCCAATAGCACTGTCCCAGAAAGTTCTGTGTCAGCAGACGGTCTGCAGGGGCCAAATCAGCAAAGCAACATCGCAGGCTTATGCACAGCAGAGTATAGGGCAGGTAGACTGTTAAAATGTAAAATTATGACGATATTCTTGTAATATTGCGACTTTTTTTCTGGACCTGTCAGAGAATACAGATAGCCTATATGGGAGAGATTCTGAATGTGCAGAAAGTTTTGAACAGGAGCAGAAACCTTCTGAAACACACTAAAGTGCAGGAGTTTCTAACTGAATTAAAATTATTTAATATCATTGAGGTGAGTAAAGGTGCCACAGTCATATTTAAAAAGATTATATCCCCAAAAAAGACAAAAATGAAAATTTTTAAATGCACATTTAATGTGTATTCAAATGTTAATATATTTATTTGTTAAGTTCGGTGTGAAGCATCAAGGGACCGCAAACTTTTGTTTCATTATACAGCAACATTGTGTTGTATAATGACAAACAACCTTGTAAAAGTTAAAGTACAGGAGAAAAGATAGCCTATCTAAAAGCAACACAGAGTGCCTGAGAGCTTTACTGCATTATTTCTATATTTGGAATCGTCACCTGCCACCCCCTCAAGTTCCCCTGCAACAGCGACAACAAATCTGACATACAGTAAACACTAGTCAGCAGCACATCACAAGTCATAGGATACAGAGCAAATATGGTTACAGTATAATCAACCATACATGTGGTAAACCTCTGTTTATATTATAATTATCATCATTTCAGCTGACACAGCCATATATTCATACAGTATTTCAGTTTTGTACATAATTTGACCAATACGTTGATTAATGTAGTCCTCAAGATTGAATTTGATAGATGAAGTATAGGTGGGTTTAGAGTTCATCATAGCACAGAGACAGCACTGGTGAAAATTACTAATAACCTCCTAATTGCATCAGACAAAGGACTTGTCTCTGTACTGGTTTTATTAGATCTTAGTGCTGCATTTGATACCATTGACCATCAGATCCTATTGCAGAGACTGGAACATTCCATTGGCATTAAAGGAAAAACTCTAAGCTGGTTTAAGTCCTATTTATCAGATTGATTTCAGTTTGTACATGTTAAGGATGAGTCCTCCATGCATGCCAAAGTTAGTCATGGAGTTCCTCAAGGATCTGTCCTCGGACCAATCCTCTTCACTTTATATATGCTTCCTTTAGGCAATATTATCAGGAAATATTCCATAAACTTTCATTGTTATGCAGATGATACTCAGTTATATCTATCGATCAAGCCACATGAAACTCATCAGTTAGCTAAATTTCAAATGTGCCTTCAGGATGTTAAAACCTGGATGATCTGTAATTTTCTCATGTTAAACTCAGATAAAACTGAAGTTATTGTTCTGGGGCCTAAGCACCTCTGTGACACATTATCTAAAGAAATAGTTTCCCTTGATGGCATCGCCTTGGCCTCCAGCACCACTGTGAGGAATCTTATCTTTGATCAGGACATGTAGTTTAAGTCTCACATTAAGCAAATTTCAAGGACCACCTTTTTTCACCCATGTAATATTGCGAAAATCAGGAACATCCTGTCTAAAAATGATGCAGAAAAACTAGTCCATGCATTTGTTACTTCTAGGCTGGATTACTGCAATTCCTTATTATCAGGCTGCTCGAAAAAGTCTGTTAAGACTCTTCAGCTGATCCAGAATGCTGCAGCACGTGTTCTGACAGGAACCAGGAAAAGAGATCACATTTCTCCTGTTTTAGCTTCTTTGCATTGGCTTCCAGTAAAATCCAGAATAGAATTTAAAATCATTCTACTTACCTACAAAGCTCTTAATGGTCAGGCACCATCTTATCTTAGAGCTCATAGTACCTTACTACCCCACCAGAGCACTGCGCTCCCAGAACGCAGGGTTACTTGTGGTTCCTAGAGTCTCCAAAAGTAGACTAGGAGCCAGAGTACATGAAGAAACAAAAAAACAAACCCCACTGCTACACTCTAAACAATGTGTAAGGGGGTGCCTGTGTTATGAACCTAAGAACCCATTAAAAACACTAGGAAAAAACTTATGACATTATCGCATTAATCACCATTCACTCCCTGGTCAAATGACATCGGCAGTGATGCAGGTAGTGTCCTCTGTTTCTGATTAGCGGATGTCTATCAGGTCTCAACGTTACATTCATATGTGTATGTAGTAATAATACCATACTAGGTCTATGTCATCATTATATAAACCCCCTGGGCCCACAACCAAATTCAAACCATGTAAAAACCACAGAAATATGTTGTCAATATGTAATCACCACTACTCCGGCTAAATCCTTCAATCTTTCCCGAGTATACAACCAGACCAGCCATATAAAGGCTTATGTATATAATTACTATCATTATCTCTGAAGTGCTCTTTCATACAGTAGCCTAACGTCCCTATCCATGAGTAAAACATTAATATCAGATTTGCAGTAAATATATAGAAGTAATAAGCTTGATACACTAGATGAAGAAACACACTCTTATTAAAATTCAACCAATTTAATAATAATCTGGATCAAGCCACCAAGTTCTTAAAGAACTCCAGCACAGAGAGAGGAACAGAGAAATATTAACACATTATATAAATGCAGCAGTTTGGCAGGTCTGGACACAGAATGGGCCACATCAGGTCCTGATTCTGCAGACAGAGAAACACACATGAGCACATCGCTCTCATACACGGCCAGGTTGGTAAATAAAAAGGAAAAGTTACGTTGCGTTCTCTGGCGGACCTGGATCAGCTTTTAGCTGTTTACAGGGCTAATGCTAATGTTGCTACGTGGCTGTGTTTTAATGTTTTAATGACCGGGTCTGTTTGTTTTGGAGAGGAGACAACCTCAGAGGTAATTCGGCTCCAGATAGAACCCCGTCAGGGCTCTGAAGTGGAGTGGACCCAGAACAACCTGCCTCTCATTCTCCGGCGCTGGCAGTCACTCGGCCTGCCGAATGAACGAAAGACTGAGGAGGACCCATGTGAGTTGTGAACGAGTCGTTCATTCCTGCTCCACAGTAGGAGCTGTCACGTGACAAATGAATGACTCATACCTAGAGACCCACAGTTGCTATGAGTCGTGAACTAATCAGTTCTGTTTCCTGTGCTGCCTGCTTACCACAGCCCTGTAGCCGAGCTGTCACGAGACAAATGAACGACTCAAACAGACCCACAGTTGACAGTCGTGAACTAATCAATTCTATTTCCTGTGCTGACGAAGCCCAGGCAGCTGCCGTGTGACGAGTGAACGTAAGTGTCCAAGATCCTTCACGCATGCGTGAAAATGAACGAATTAGTCACTGAGACAACCCGTTCCTCCCGAGTCGTCATACACGCGATTAGGTCTTATGAATGAAACGTTCATTGAACGACACAACACTAGCAGTCAGAGCTCCCCCTGCAGTCCATAAAGTGCCTCTGTGCCTCAGCCCTTCCAAACCCTCCCTGCAGCCTTTGGGCCACGCCTCCTCATTTGCATGCACGGCTCAACCCTAAATCCCAAAAACTAGGACTGGCCCGGACGTCATGTTTGACACAATCCTAAAAAAAAACATCCACTGTTGCACAAATGCTGTTTTTGTTCTACCAAAATTCTACTTCAATGTCTTAGATCAGTGCAACATTTCCTACAGACAAAATCTCATGTCAATCGCAAATATCCAGGTGTGACGTCACACTGTCTACATAGGGTCAGTTATTTGAAGAAAAATAATACAAGATCGACCCAACAGTACATCACTGACAGCTGTTTTTTTTTTTTTATGTGAATGAAACCTCACAATGGGATTTCACGTCGTCTTTGCGTGGACTTGCATGTGTCTCATCATGTCCTTTTTATATGCAAACGGTCTGGAGCAGATGCCACAGTGATGGGGTTTCTCTCCTGTGTGGGTTCTTATGTGACACATCATGTTGCCCCTCTGCTTGAATCCTTTCCCACAGACTTCACATGTGTATGGCTTGTCCACCGTGTGGATCCTCATGTGTATTCTCAGACATTCACCTCGTGCAAATCTTTTGCCACATTCTTTACAACAGTGTGGTTTCTGACCTGTGTGAACCAGCAAGTGCCTTTTTAAATGGGACCTTGTGGTAAATGTTTTGCCACAGACATAACACAGATTGTCCTCCCTGTGTCTTTCGTCGGGTTCGATCCCACTTTCTGTAGATGCTTGGTTTGTGGGACAGAGACCAGTTGCATTGTTTGCATGTGATTTAACATGCTTCATTAATAAACTCCTGTAGTGGAAAGATTCTCCACACATTGCACAACAAAAAGGTCTTAGATTTGTCATTTGCTTAATGTTCAAGATGGGGCGGTTTTGTCTTCGCTTTGCCCTTCTCTTTGACTTCACTGTGTTTGAACTGGAGTTAGATCCTCCACTCTCCGTCCATTCAGCATCACTAGTATTATTTCCGTCCCCACAATCTGAAGAGAGGGGCTGCTGGAAATCTGACCCTCCACAACCATCTGTTTCCTCTTCTGTTTGCACCCACTCAGTTGAAGTTCCAGGAAGAAGATCTCCACTGGCTACAGTTTGGGTCTGGCAGCAACAAGATGACAGAGTGCTCTCACACTTTAAACAAGTAGCAGCGTCACCTAACAGGTCCTGCGGTTTCCTTTCATGCTGGCCGGGCCAGTGTTCCTGAAGCTCTGGTAATCCTGGTCCTGATGTGTCCTGCTTCACAAACACCTGACCTTCAGCGTGTGATGGCTGGGTGGAGGCCTCTGCTTCAGACATGCTGACCTCCTGGGAGACTGGGGGTACAATGAGAAAACATTATGTTAAAGACATACATCTTACCATTGCATATAACAAATTAAATGTCCTGTTGCAGGGATGGAACAACATTACAATGCTGAACACCGTATGTTAATAAATTGCATAATGCAAATCTTCCAAAGAGAAAAATCTCTTTGGAAACAGTCTTACTAAACTAAAACCCCGCCAAGTCCCGTTAAGTTTAAGGTATCTAAAAGAAGACCCCATGACAGAAGAAAAACACTTCACACAGACTTCAACTCACTCTTATCAGCTAGGTTTCTCAGCAGGAACATGGACTGCTTGAACAAGGGCAAACAACCATCTCAGGCTTTTAATGGAGAGTGCAGTAAAATAGACAGCCCCTCACGTGTTATATGTGTTTAGTTAATGACAGAGCTAGCGAACTCATTCAGGGGCGTAGGTGCGACTATGAACCTGGGGGGGGGGGGTGCACAGTCAGAGAGACGAAGTACAGTACAACTACAACAAAACCGACTACACATACCATAAAAGCCATGGAACAGCAGCTAGTTAATGTAGCTAGCCACAGCACAAATGTGTTCAGTTATCCTAACGTTACACTTGTGAGCTGTCTGATATTCCCTGTGTCTCACCTGGCTCTCAATATCCCCGTTCTGTGGTCACTTCATCTCACATCTAGGAAAGCAACAAATGTTTGTTATCACAGAACTGGCTTCAGTGCAAACTCTGATGAAATGCCATTGGCCCAACAGTCTTTTTACTATGGGAATTTTAGAATATACTATACAGTGTCTAGTAGCTATCCATGCGACCTACGTTTTCTCTCCTTCTCCTTCTTAAAATACTGTAGGATGCTCACCTCTGTGTGAACATTATACCTACTTTTAAATTGTTTATAGACACGTAGCAGTGACATACACACACCTCAGGATGCAAGATTTTTAAGGTCAAGACAAACAAATGAGAAATCTTGAGAAATAGGTGGTCTAATTAATATGTTTGCTTGAGAAAGTAGATTACATTAAAATACATTTTCAAAACTGGAAACACCTCTCTAAATCTCCTAAAGTAAAATAATCCCCTCAGCTGAGCCCTTGAGTACAATAAATAAATAAGCCATGTCATCACCAGTCTGTGCAACATGGTTACTTGAAGGGAATACAATTTGCTTTGCTTGTCAGTTATCTGTAATTTAGCTATTTCTGTTCAATACACTTATTTTCCTTTTTAAATCTACATGAAGATACTGATAAGATCACTTTAAATCTTACTGCCCGGCCTGTGTCTTTTATTATGGACCTGTAGCCTACCAAACATAATATTGCATAATATTGCAAAAATCAGGGACATCCTGTCTAAAAATGATGCAGAAAAACTAGTCCATGCATGTGTTACTTCTAGGCTGGATTACTGCAATTCCTAATCAGGCTGCTTGAAAAAGTCCATTAAGACTCGTCAGCTGATCCAGAATGCTGCAGCACGTGTTCTGACAGGAACCTGGAAAAGAGATCATATTTCTCCTGTTTTAGCTTCTTTGCATTGGCTTCCAGTAAAATCCAGAATAGAATTCTTCTCAATTCAATTCAAATTAGCTTTATTGGCATGAATGTGTAATAACAATAATAACTTCTCACCTACAAAGCTTTTAATGTTCAGGCACCATCTTATCTTAAAGAGCTCATAGTACCTTACTACCCCACCAGAGCACTGCGCTCCCAGAATGCAGGGTTACTTGTGGTTCCTAGAGTCTCCAAAAGTAGACTAGGAGCCAGAGCGTTCAGCTATCAAGCTCCTCTCCTGTGGAACCAGGTTCCAGTTTGGGTTCAGGAGGCAGACACCATCTCCACATTTAAGAGTAGGCTTAAGACTTTCCTCTTTGATAAAGCTTGTAGTTAGGGCTGGCTCAGGTGAGTCCTGAACCATCCCTTAGTTATGCTGCTATAGGCCTAGACTGCCGGGGGATTTCCCATGATGCACTGAGCTCCTCTCTCCTCTTCTTTCTCTCCCTCTGTATGCAACCTCATCCCATTATTGCATGTTACTAACACAACTTCTCCCCTTCCCTGGTAGTCTTGTGCTTTCTCGTCCCTCTCCTCTCTCCTCCTATCACTTCCTGCAGGTTTTCTGGCTCTGGAGCTGTGGAGTCTGGATCTGTGGCTGCGGGTCACCTGCTGTCCCCCTGTTCCTGCTCGACACCCTCTGCTGCAACGACTATTGTTACTAGTCCTATTGTTATTATAATAATTAACATTACGACTGTTACCATTATCTCTCTCTCTCTCTCTATCTCTCTCTCACTCCCCCCCCCCACCGGTCGAGGCAGATGGCCGCCCACCCTGAGCCATGGTTCTGCTCGAGGTTTCTGCCTCTTAAAAGGAAGTTTTTCCTTGCCTCTGTCGCCTAGTGCTGCTCTTGGTGGGAACTGTTGGGCTTCTGTAAATAACATCACAGAGTACGGTCTAGACCTGCTCTTTATGAAAATTATTTTACTTTGTATTATGTTACACTAAGGATGGCCATCTCCAAGATACAAAAAACTATAAAATATTATTTTAAGCGTCAGCAAATCGACATTGAGCTTAGGGGGCCGTCTCACCCCACACTACCCTACAGTAGGCTGTGTATCATATTTTATCGACACACATTCTTCTCTCTCTCTCTCTAAACTAAACCAGCGTTCACTTTTGGCCTCAGGTGAAGATGCTACGATGGTCGTTAAGGCTTGACCTGGAGTGGCTCTAACTATGAATAACCAGCAGTATTGATGACCTTGGTAAACGACTCCACAAAAGGTTAAATAGCTGAGTTTCCATAGCAGTCACTCAGTATTGAAGAAGTCTGTTGGATGAGGGACGAGACATCTTTTACTATCTTCAACCAAATCCAGCTGTGCTTGATATTAACCTTCCTTGGATATTTATGTCAAGTGTTTAGAAACTGTCCCAGGCTCTCTCATTCACTGGGCAAGAGATATCAAGGCACACATATGCAGACATGTAAAGAGAGATCGGAGAAAGCTAAGGCCCTCGCTTGTGATTCATAGTGGTGTATCCTGCTCTTGTTTCTGTTGCTGAGTTTCATTACCCAGACAGTCCAAGTCATCCTGACACAGCAACCTGAGGTTACTGCAGCCCCTGGGTTCCTAGACGTTCCAGCCACCAGACCCTAAACAACCTTCTACCCTTCATCCCTCTATGCCCAACCCCCTTCACCCCTCTACCCTTCATCCCTCTCCTCTTCATCCCTCCATCATAAATACTCCTCATTATCCATATAAAAATACATTTTCATACCTCACCTTTGCATAGTCTTTGTAAGTGAATGGCAGCCATTCCACAGGCTTTGAGTATCTCTGTAATGAAACTCAAGGGCAGGATATCACCATTGTTATTCCCAAGTGTCAATCTGAACATGAGAGGCTAAAGCTTTCACCACAAGAAGCCAGACAGACTTCAAGGACAGAGGCTATGGTAATCTCAGATTTATGTAATGATAATGACAGCCTATCCACAGATTTGAACTGTGATGTGATGTGATGGTCCCTTTAACTCTGAGTCTGGGGCCTGTGTACAGTGTGTCTCTCTGTTTGTGTTTCTGCAGGCAATCAAGGAGATTGGGAGCACCTGGCCAGTGCGCCCAACCTATTTGGGCACTGCTCCATCACCACACCACACAATAAAGATCACTATTTATTCAATATCGTCCTGCTATCTGGAAAATATCCAGTATTGAAGAGGAATCCTATTAAAGGTCATGTTGGCTGCTGATAAAATGTGGTAATAGAAAGGTTCAAGACTGGAAGCTGAATTCTTAACTAACCAGGTTTAAAAGGGGCTATATGTAGTTTTTTTTAAATGAAATGAATCACTTTTTTTAATTATTTGTGAACAGGTTGTAACCCCACATAAAAATGCAGCCTGTATGTTGCTTCCTATATGAAGAAAGCAGGTCAGATTTTTCCCTGAAATCCATAGGTTTATCTAGGCTGTTCATGCGGGCTCCTGAGCCTCTTGCCTACTGATTCTGAACTGTACACACAGTGACAACACTGCAGCTAATGAAATACAGTCCGCTAAACCAAAACCACAGCCACGACACAGACAGACAGACAATTAATGCTGAAATATATGAATTGTGGGAGTGTGGGCGTCCTCCAATTTATGGTGGAAATGTTTTTAATTATGTAAAAGGAAAATTCAAAATTCAGGTGGCAGGTGAAAATTTAAAATATATAAATATAAGAAAATGAAAAACTTAGATAGAATAGAAACTGTGTCAAGAAGTTGTTAAAGTTACTGACTGTTTTGGGGTCATTTTATAATTAGAACAATTCTTTTAGCTTAAGTTAAACAAATAAATAAGAGCAAATGACTTTTTCTCAAAGCATTTTCATTTGTTATTTAACATAGTATAATATACTATACAATAGTGCGCCATGACTGTGGAGAAGCTGTGTATCTGATCGGTACAACGACAATAAATCTAAAGTGAACTTTGGGTAAACAGGTGTAGATCCGTGCTAAAGTTACGTTAGCTGACTGCTACTGCATTGCATCAAGGCTAGGATAAACAAATAGTTCCATATTTGCTTTGTACCGTTACACCTTTCTTGCAGGCTAAATCAACACTTTCTCATAATACCGGTGGTATACAGGGAAGTAATGTGGATTGAGTATACTGGTGATGTAAACTAGAAAGACAAGACGTTACATATTATATATTGCACCGGATGACGTTAGCAACTGCTCGGAGTTAGCTGGTGAGCTAACGTGACTCTCCTTGATTCCAGCCTGTCTGATGTTCACTGTTTCCACAGGTCTTCTGATGCTGTTTGTCCTGACAAGCGTCATCACATAAACCTCCATTGTTTTTCATCCTTATGGAGAGTCAATGTTTGAGTCTGTTTTGCTGGGAGCCGGTTTTTATGGTGTGAGTTGACTGTATTTGGTTTGCCGCGTTGCGACCCGGTGTCCTCACATTGAAAGCAGAATGGTGGCTGTTCCAAGCAACAGAGAAAACAGGCGTGTGCTTAATTTCTAAGTGAGGTTACAGCACATTGACAATAAGGCAGTGAACTTTTGATTTATTAATTATTTATTAATTAATTAATTATTAATTAAGTGACTTCATTGAAAAACTACCTATAGCCCCTTTAATCAGGTTCTGAATTTTAAACGATTTTTAATCAATATAAGTTGTATGCTTGCCCTTGCTCAATGCTCAAAGGGACGTGGCTGAAGTAGTATTTGGCTCTAGGGCTTTTCAATCGAGTGCTATTTCAGAGTAAGCAGGATAGGCATTCGGTTGACGACAGCTAGAAGCTAGGTGAATCAAATTTGACTGCAGCTTAAACAATCCCCAGTTATACCTAATTGGGTAATACTCATGGGCCTGGAGGATCAGACCCTTAAAACAAAGAACTGGACCAGTACATCCTGGACATGAGTAATTCAGCATCAGTGTATATGATTGTTATATAAATAGCCTATATCTGAAATTCTGATATCAGTATCAGCCTTAATTTCCATTATAGATCCCTCCGTTCCCGTGGGACCTTGTTTCGGGAAAAATATGTACGGTAGTCAATGGCAAGAGTTTATTTTTTTCTTTTGTTTGAACTGTGCCCTGAAATACACATATGATGATGGTCAATTTAAAAGATAATTATATCCGTCAAGAAAGTTGCAGTTTGTCGTAAAACATTAAAGTTACACTTAGTTTACTGTGAAAACTGAGCTACATCTCTCGTCTCGTCCAATATGTCACCAACATGTTAACGCGGTAATGCTTGACTTTCGGGTTTGTGGTCTTTGTAATTATGTATTTTCACTGTCTTATACTTAAACAGTTTTACATCAAATTGCGACTTTCTTGACTTTTAAATGTATGTTTTAAATTGTCATCATATGTGTAATTCAGAGCACAGTTCTAACAGGATCAAATTATTTGTTAGTTGTCCCTTGCCATTGACTACCGTACATATTTTTTCTGAAGCAAGGTCCCATGGTGGTCCACTGGAAGGGGAGGGATTTAGTCTACTATTGCTCTATGATTGATGCTGTTTTTTCTGCCATTAGGGGAAGAACTGCTGACTCAATAAGGGAAAACATTCCTGATTTTACCTGGTTAAAGAAAGTATTGCTCCTGTGTTTTCTACTAACAAAGCGAGAATTGCTGTTTTTTTCTAGGAGCAGAGGGAGAACTGCTGCTGGTTCCTCGCAGACCAGAGCAAGAAATTCAGCTGATTTTTCCATTATCACAGCGACATCTCCGGTTGCCACTTATTGAACATGTGCAAAAATTGTGGCAGATATTTCCACAACCAAGACCAGGAGTTTCTATGTATTTTCCACAGTCCATGGGACGGTGGACAGCGAGTTTTGGAAAAGAAGAAGAAGATTAATCAACAAAAGATTTGCAGCTGTTTTTCCTACAGTCAGAGCAAGCAGTGCTGGTGGATTTTTCATGACACATTGGAATATTTGAATATTTCAAAGGCAGGCCCATTATTTATTAATATAATACATGGGGACAACACCTTGGACTCCCTGCCAGTCAGGCAGAAGTGAAGAAGCCCGTTACATAATGATAACCATCTGTGCACCAACCTGCTGTGAACACCTGCACCTCCTCCAGACCTGCAGCTAGCGTCGGCAGCTCCTCCTTAGGTGAATAAATGTCAGCATGATACTCTAATATCGTTCTTTCCACCGCACCGAAGATCTCCTCCGCTGCCTCTGTCAGTCGCTCCTTCACAAAGAGTTTGAGCTGGTGTAGCTTAGACATTTTGGAGGACAAGAAGATACCCTGGACTTCCTGATCGCTAGAGTAAAGTTAAAAGGTTCTCTTGGTCTGGCAAATGAGCCGCAGCGGGATCTGCTGTTAACTACACCTCCTCAGTTCGGTTGTCATTAGTCCCACTCGTCTGCTTTTTCTTCTTCTTCTTCTTTCTGGGTTTGATCGGCGTTTGGTAACCAGCATGTTGTGCATTACCACCACCTCCTGCTTCGGAGATTACTACATCTTAACAGCTGCAACATAAAGAAAGTCCATCCATCCATCGTCAACCGCTTATCCTGCGTCCAGGGTCGCGGGGGGCTGGAGCCAATCCCAGCTGGCATCAGGCTAAAGGACATTAAAGAAAGTCTTACATATTAATGCATCAAGAATGATAATGAAATTATATAATACTATTATGAAATAGGTGATTCTGCATAAAGTGTATTTTGTTAATACTTTGCACAATTTGACTTATTGTAACAGTGGCTACTTTTACTTAAGTAAAATATCTGAGAATTATTTCACCACTGAAAGTAACATAATTAATAGAAAAACAGGTCTAAGAATCATCGATCAAAGTTTTGTTCTGTTTCCCCTGAAATGTGTAGCTTATTATCTTTATAAAGCTTTCTTATTTCACTCGTCCTACAGCCCGGTACAGCACACACACAAATACACACATAGGCCTACTCACAATCTGCCTACAAACATATGTTTATTCCCACCTTCCCCTAAGGCTCGTCCTGTCACCCCTTTAAGATGAACAGAGAGGCTCGCACTGCTCTCTGCCGGCCGGCAGCTGAACCGTCATGATCAAACCGACAGATTTATTTGAAATAGAAAATGGGTGCTCTTTGGTAATTGCGGCCCCCACTCCTTATGATCACACCACCGTGTTCCGCGTGAACAGCCCACTCGCCCTTTTCATTGGTGCCTTCTGTAAGCTGGGATGGGCACAGTTCTGCAGGAGCGAGTGCCACAACAATGCCTGGAGAGGCTCTCCATCAGGGAGAGGGAATGGAAGAAGAAGGCGTTGTGGAGCGACAACAGGCCTAATGCGGCCAGGTAGCGAGAGATATTATTTGTAATTCGGTAAGGAATGGTGGAGACAGAGGCCCCTAGTGTCTCTGTGAGCTTTTTCCCGTTGCACGAGGAGATGCTTGTTGGTCGAGTATCTTGATTTCTAAACGCGGCTACTCCATAAGAGAACGTCATTGTTTCCAAATCGCATTTGTGTTTTCTTATGCAGTGTTATTTGGGTCATTGTTTAACATTTAATCTTTTTCTCTTTTTTTCAAGCAACAAAATGGGCAGGAGGCAGTCACAAAGGAAGGCACTGCAGCCACAGTGCACGCTCCCAAGTCAAGAAAATAATAATGACAAGGTAAGTGGGAAGGAGAACTAAAACAATGTGTCAATTTATCGATTAGATAATCACAGAAAATTAATTGATTTGGCCTATATGTATTATAACTGGTATTCAAGCAGGTATTTTCTGTTTGCCAAACATTTGCTGATTAGAGCTTGTAAAATGTGTGCTTTTATATCACTCTGAAGTGAATATGTTTGAATTTTGTTACTTGTAATTATTTTGTATTCACCTTGACCTCTGGGAAATTGCGATATGCAATATTTTCAGACTAATCATGGACAAATCGATTAATAAGTCAGTGAAAACGTTGCAGCATCAAGCAGTGTGTAAAGAGTGAACATGTATTGGTGATATGTGTGTGCAGGCTTAATAGTGTCTCTGTAATCACAGGGGCTGCAGCAGAGAAGAAAGCACAAGCCTAAGAGCCCCTCGACCAAACACAATGCTTCTCAACACAGGTGAGGTTAATGTTCTACAAACGTCATGCCACTCTGTGCTGCCTTCATGTGAGGATAATATTTACTTTTTCCTCTAGTGCTCAGGGAACCTCGGAGTCAAAGTCCCATCCACTGTCCCCTGCAGAGGACAGGATGGAGCCAAAGGTGCAGCTGGCTGCTCAGCACTGCAGCCGCAGAGAACACAAGCACAGAGGTTTCAGAGGGAGCAGACACACACCAGCCTTCCCCTGCCACCGCCTGTCAGATTCAAGTCCTGATCTGCTGGAGTCAACAAACTCAGAACTAGGAAATCTGTGCGGCCATGGAGAAGGTGACAGTGACACTGACTTGTCTGAATCGGAGACACTTCCGGGGTCACCCTCTAGTCGGGTTCCTCCTCAGCTCGAGCTGAGGCCTGAGGTCATCGAGGCTGAAGACTGCTCCAGGCCTAGAGGACGCCCCCATGGTGGTTTTGACTTCCCAGACTTTCTCCCTCCACCTTTCAACTCTTGGAGCCTCAGTCAGCTGGCTGTCTTCTACAACATGGAGGGCCGCGGGGCCCCTCGGCCCAGGCCTGTTGGCTCTTTGGAAAGGTACCTGGAGAGGCTTCTGCAAATGGAGTGGCGCCAGATTCAGACTGTCCAGGAGGAGAGTGGAAAGGCGGCAGGGTCCGATATCATATACAGCTGCCACAGGTCGCCTGCCGCTGTCTCTTCACGCCTCAGCTCGCCAAAGTGCATCCTCCAGTGTCAACGTGCCTTCCCCCTCACCTTCCTCTCCTCTCTGGCCAGTCACTCTGCCCTGCTCTCCGGCTGTGGTTGTACTCTCTGCCGTATCCGCTACTCCACCTTTAGCACGTCGTGCTGCCGCTCCATCCACAGCCACAATCGTCAGTCCAGACTGAGTCCCATGCCGGAGCACAGTGGGCCCACATCACTCCCCAAAAGGAGCTACAGCGAGAGCCGGGTGCACTCCTCAGACAGGAGCTCAGCATGCCGAGCTCAGAGGTTCAGCAGCCCTGTGAGGACCAACAGCCACCTGAGGAGAATGCAAGCCTCAGGCAACATCCGCAACCCTGTTCAAGGTAATAACAGCAAGCCTCATTCCACTGCCAGAGACTCTAGTGTTGGAGCTATGAGGGACCGCTTGGGAGCATACAGGGATGTGTTGGACTACAGGACAGGAGCGTTTAGGAAGAGGAGTGGCTCAGAGCAGAGGAGAGGTGGAGTAGAAAGACAACAGGGCGCATCAGAGAAAAGACGGAGTGGTTCTGAGTGTAGACGAGGAGGAACTGAGCAGAGGAGAAAGGCTGAGCTCAAGGAACGGGAAATAAAACCAGATGCAGTCACTGCAATAATGGACAATTTACCTGGGTCCAAAAATTCTCCTCTCAACAAAGCAAACAGATCGAAGCAGGTTGAATTTGTTACTTAAAAGCAACTTGAGTACTGTAAGTAAAGTCTGAATGCCATAGCTACAGTCATCATAATATTTGATACTGAATGTATATTTACAGTCATATTTCTTTATTTGAGCAAGTTGACAGAAAGTGTAGCACGATTGTAAAGGTATTTTTTTTCACAGGTGGATGTTATGTTTCACCAGAGTTTTTTGGTCTCATGTAGTTACAGTTACATTACTATGTTTACTCCAATCTAGTCAAACAGGTTGATGCAAACGCTGGATGTTTACATGCATTATTGATCATTCATTCATCTCATGGGCATGTGGATATTTATATAAAAGTTATTTTTTAGTTTTTTAATAAAAGCAACCCAGTAAGACTTTTGTCAGCACAATACATTATGTAGCCAATATATTTGTATTCAGGGTTTCTTAACATACCGGCAGGTTTATTAATGGTACTTTTTTGGTTTCTCAACAATATAACTGTATCATAAAAGTTGTTATAAAGTAAAAGCATTGTGCTAGGGGTGAAATGTCAATTAAATAAACTCGATTTTTCAAGAAATCCTTAGATTCATTTAAAAAAATGTTTTGAAAACCACATGTCTACATGTTAATTTATTATTTGAAAAGTAGTTTCACATGATGTGTTTTCAGCAAGGGAAATGTGAGGGGTGGAAGGGAACATGCATTGTAGTCATATACTCTGTTGGTGTGTGTGTGTATGTGTGTGTGTGTGTGTGTGTGTGATTACAAAACTGCACTTTGGATTTGCTCACGCAGATGAAAGTTTCTGTCTCCTTAATCCAGCCTGTAAAATATCAAAGTGCTTTGTGTTCCACAAAATGTCAACAAATTACCAATTAGGTCTGCAGATTTGCCAATTTTGAATTATTTTCAACAAACTTGTTGACATCAAAGCAAGGGCGTCACTTTGTGTTGAAAAGTGGTGGGGACATTTAAGGGCTCATATTAGGGGAAACATTTAGTCCACGAGATGTGATAATGCACAATATTGGAGTCGCAAGAACAAGACAACAAGATACTCCAAAACTTTTTAGAAGAAATAGTCATTGATGAAATAGGCTAATGGATTGCGGGGTCTGGATGTCCTCCACCAGAAAAAGTTGAACATCAGAAAAACAAAAAACAGAATTCATGTGGCCGGTGAAAAATCAGAATGTTAAAATATTATTGAAATGAATGCAGTAATCAGCTGCTTCTTTTTTTAGCCGAAGTCCTTTTTTTGGACAAGGCAGATCTGTTTCTTCTATATTTACATTGCATGTCATGTAAACCTTTCTCATAGATTTTTTATTTGGAATTTAACATTTCTTGTTGCAAGCTAATTTTTCAGAAAACTTTTAGCAAATGCTTTCAAAAAGTGGTGGGGACATGTCCCAGGCGTCCCCAGTGAAAATGACACATGTATATTCTGTGTCTTGCTGGTGTATCTTCCTTAAATGCTTAAGTGGTTAATTTAAAACCATAAATCCATTTGTTTGTTCTAATAAAACTAAATAAGCTCTTCGGCATGAGCTAGCTGGAAGACACATTAATATGGACTATAGGGAGTGTTTGTGAGGAATTATTATTATGCGGCTCTCTTGGTAGTCGTTCCTGTTTCCGACCGGACGTATTTTCATAGCAACACAGCTGCCATGGACGCTGTATCCCAGCGTGTTTTGGATTATTTGACAGAAGTTGAGGAGGCAGCTGAGGATGTCCTCGCCACTAAACAACAGGTAACTAAATGCTTACTCTTAATAATATGCAGAGCACGGCCACCAGGGAGGATCGATGTGTCAGGTAGCGGAGCTGGAATTGAGAATGTTAGCAGCTAAGCTAACTAGCTACATTCAAGTGTATTGTCTTTATCGTCAGATGAATGGGATCAGTGCTTTAAAGAAGGCTAGCTAACGTTACTATTTAGTTGTTTTCGTGTTTATTTGAGGCTGCAAGCTGGGATAAATATCATAAAACTGACTGTACAATAAATAGAACAATGCAAAATACAGTTAATGTGCAAATATTCTGAAACGCATGTTGAAATGTTGATTGCGGCTGTGGGTTAGAGGTAACGTTACAACGGACCGTTGACATGTCTACTACTAACACCGACCCTGTCGGTAGCCTCTGAACTTCTATCTACCAGGGGCCTGCAGTGAATTTGTTTCCTTCCTCACTGACAAAATAAAAACAATAGACAAGCCCTCCGTGCGTCCATATCAGGCACAGGAAAACAAAAATCAATTCAAATAACGTGATATGTTCTGATGCTATCAACCATAAAAACCTGGAGGGCATTCTGCCTTTGAAATCCTCCTCCTGCTGGCTTTTTCAGAAATGTTTCTAATTGCAGCCTCAGATCTTCCACATGTGTCAGGTTTCTTTCCACAGGCCTTGAAAACTGCAGTCATCAAGCCACTCTTAAAAACAACAATCTACACATCACACAAGAGCAACTGTAGGCCCATATAAATATATATATAGCTAAAAGCTACCAAAATGTGGTACGATTGGTAAAATTGCAAGTTGTTCAAATGAACCAGTGCAGTAGTAGATGCATATAGCTCAGAATATGGATAGAAAAGTATTCTATTTTAGTATTCTGTTTATCTCAATTACCTATATGAAGCAGCACGAATACCACACCATAGAATAGGGATGCACCAAATGTTCGGCCACCGAAATTAATCGGACGAAAATAGCAAAAGAAAAGCACTTTCTAATAAGTCAAAAGACCGAGTAAATTTTACCAAACAATTACGTTGACATGTCGGCAGTGTGGAAGCATTTTAAAGTGTACGAAAAAGACGCAAAAATCGCCGTGGATCGACACTGTTCTGCCGAACTGTCTCCTAGCACATCCACTCCATCTGTGGCTGACTTCTTAGAAAAGGCACTTTTCCATTACCAGTACCAGCTCGCCTCGCCTCGCCTCGCCTCGACACTGTATAATATTGCATATTTATATTATAAAACTTTGTATTAACCATGGATGTCTTTTTGTGTTTTACGCATCAATCCAAATAGTTGAACACTAATGTGAACTTTTTCACATTCCTTAACGAAAAAGGAAATTGTTGTTGCAGCATCACCCACTGAACATGTTGAAAACGAATGTTCTCTGTTGTTTCAGATAGTGGACCTGGACACAAAGAGAAACAGGAACAGAGAGGCACTGAACGCACTGAAACATGAAGTGCCAGATTCAGGTGGGTGACCCTTCATGACAGAGTGTTACAGAAGGCTTGGCAATGTTGCAATTTCAGTGTCACAGTGGTAACAACACAGAACTATCATGGACCCAATTGCTCGGGTTGTGAGAAGATTTAACAGAGGAAACAACAGTTTAGTGTCTTGGTGTGGGTCAGGTGTATGGCTGTCATACTGGTGGTTGATGTCACTGTACATGAAATGTTACTAAACACTGCTGTCATTTGCAGAGAAAGTGAAGGTTTGCTTCGGAAACATGTTCATCAAACTTCCCAAATTGAAGACAAGAGAGATGATTCAGAAAGGTAAAAAGTTCCAGTTAATAAAATCTAAATGTCTGATAGATTCCCACTATAAATCTGAATATAAATAGAGTTGTACACACATTGTAGCTACATATGAGCTCATCTTAACCTCTTTTGATATTCGTTTCTTATCTGTAGACCAAGAGCAGCTGGACAAGGAGATAAATGACCTTCGCAAAGGACTGAAAGCAAAAGTCAATCGTCTCAATGAGATGCAAGGTATGAAAAGCATTTTGGCTCTTCTGTTGGTCACTTGCAACATGCTAATCTGAAGAAATCGTTTGACATTCTGGGGAATACACTTGTTCACTTTCTTGGTCAGAGTTAGATGAGAAGATTGAAACTCTGATTGGCGCATGTACATGAAATACAGTGGGGAGAACAAGTATTTGTCTTAGATTCCGTCTCTTGTACCTATGATAAAAATTACAGACCTCTACATGCTTTGTAAGTAGGAAAACCTGCAAAATCAGCAGTGTATCAAATACTTGTTCTCCCCACTGTAACACAAGCCAGCTATTTGTAAGGCACATTTCAGGCAGTTCAAAGTTTTTTATAGGGATGCACCGAAATGAAAATTTCTTGCAGAACACGGTAAAGTAAATTACATGTGTCCAATTACTTTTAATGGACACATGTAATATGTTTTATACTTTCTGTGAATATAACCCAATTAATCTTATTTCCATCCTGTATAGACACCTTATTTTGAAAAGCAAACATGTGTATCCTCGGTAAAATTTCACATCAGGGCTTGACATTAAGGTTTATGTTTTACTCGCTCAGTAGCCAAACTTACTTGTCCAAAATTAGAAAATGTAGGCCTAATAAATAGTTTTTTTTTAAGTGATTTGGACAATTATAACAATGTCTTTAAGTGGTACACTTTCATAGCTGGGACGATTCTCAGTTAAACATCGCACCTATCAAAGAAGCCACACAAAACAGCTTGACCCATACACCATAACACACACACACAAAAAATTACATTTTTGACAAACTCCTCCAACCCCTGCCTAAATGCCCAGGGGCTGAACCCTGGCCGACGCAGTCTTTGGCAGGTAGTGCACTGCAGCTTTGGTGTTAAACTTCTCCAGTGGGGGGGGTGGGGGCCTTCCACTGAGAGAAACATCAGCCTCTGCAGCTGAAGGGAGGAGAGATGTGACATCCAGTCAGTTTTTACTCTCTCCATTGTTGAAAATCCTTTCTGACCCACTGCTGTGTTGACTGGAAGGAAGAGGTACACCTCCATGAGGGGCACCAAGTTCTTCTTATGGATGGCTCACAACAACTACAGTTTAACAGGACTGTAGTAGACTGTTTTGAAGATGGTTTGCTTAGCTAGGTGCATCTGTAATTCATGTTAACTGTATTTTAACAGGGCTGATAACTTTGTCTAACAAACAACAGGCTTAAAACTAAATGTACTCACCAGAGAATGTGAACAGCCAACTCCTTATAAGCTGTTCCAGCGGCGCTGGTTAAATTTACACAGTGCCGTGGGTCACTCTAGCCTGACTGACAGGTCGGTCTGCTTTATGGTTTATTTTAAAATAAATGGGACCATAATTTACTAAATGATCATCATGTTGTATTGAAGAAGACATGAAACTAGTGACAGAGACCATAAACTCATCAGTAAAGTGTTTACTGAGGTAATTATTCAGCTGAGAAGTAGGATCGTTTTACCATTATTTCTAATGCAGTCAGACTTCTTTTTCCAATCAGAAGTGTCATCCCCATCTGGCCGTGCAATAGAATGCAGTTTTAAGGGATTTCCTCGTTCCCATCAAATTACTGACAGGAAGCTTGGCAACACCTGTCTCGAAAGAAAGTTCTTACCTATATTGTAAGGGACCTCAAGCACAAAGGAGTACTGGACCTCTGGCTTCTAATTGTAATGACTAACAGGCAGAGAATTCTAGGAACTTACAAACCAAGGAGCCACAATCAAAATAATGATACAATGAGAACAATTTACCACTCGCTGTAGTCACACATGTTCCATGTACACAGGATTCTTGGGATGACCTGCTAACCTGCAGTCTCATGTGGTAGGCAAAGATTAGCCACAGAACATTCAATGACTTTGTCTGCACTGAACGCACAAGCCCTTTCTTATCATGAAAAGCCTCCTAGACTCTTTCAAGTAACCAGGAGCCTCGTGGTGGCACTAGGATCCATTATTAATATATCTGTAGCCTACACTAGAAGAGTGGCTTGTCTTCAGTAATTTATGTTTGTACAGAAAATACACTGTTTTCTGATAGATCTCTGGTAGACACTGATGTGTCGTTAAACTCTCAATGTCTACCAGTGGTTCTATTGTTGGAAGAGGGGATGGAAACTGAGCCCTGTCGGGGTTCAGTAAGATAGCTATAGACTTGGGAGGAATAAACAGGGAGGCCTTTCAACTCAACAATTCTTTTAGTAAACCAGTTGAAAAAGAACTCTGTCACAATCAAGTCCAATGCAAGAGGAAACATTTCTGTTGCTACTATTTTGTGAACATTTGCTTAGGACTGAAGTAAAAACTGGTTTGTCACTTTACTGAATATCCTGCCACAGTCTTCTGAAAGGTGACCATGATGTGTGTCGTTTTGTTTGTCTTCAGGAAAACCTGAGCTGAGAGGCTACAATCTTTCTCCTCTGTCAACGGATGAAGTCAAAGCTATTAACAGCCTTCTAAAGAGATGACACGGACTCTGCAAAGTGCTGAATATTTCTGAGGACATAAGGACAAAGAAAACATGTTGACTAGATGCCAAAGAGCCTCACCTGCGAGTCTCGGCTGGGGTACCATAACATGCTAACCTCTGGATGCTCTGATATTTTTACTAAATTACCCGCCTGGATAGTCGACATCTTTATAACCTTTAGGATGTTTTTTTAAATTCTTTCAAATAATGTAACTGAAAAACTACTCTTTATTGCAACTTGGGTTTTATTTTCGCAGCTCCATCAGGCCATCAGCTTAAACAGTTATGAGAGCATTGTACTCACCAAAACTAGCCAACATCTCAGAATTTCACAGGAAAACATGCACAGTAGGTAAAGCAGGTTAAAGAAGAACCTTGGCTTTACTTTTGTTTTCTCTTCCAAGTAAGTTTGTCTGTTGGTAACCTTTTGGCTTCGACTGTCTGATTGGCTGGTTCCTGCACCATTGCACCTGTTTCAGTGATGTCACCATGTTCCCTGATTTCAGGAGTAAATTTTGATGTGTATTATATAACTAGTAGAACAGAGGGGCCAGAGCTGTGAAGATAAAACCCAAGTTGAAATAAACTGTAGTTTATAGTGCAGTGTTGAAAAAAATATAAAGGCCCACTGCTCTGTGGGATTGGAAAGGGGGGATTGCTTGACATGATGTATATTTGAGTGAGAATTTAGCCTGTGTAGTTGGTGAATGGCCACAAGGTGGCAGAAGGACAAAGCCTTGATTCACTCACAGCCTCCGCAGGCTCACAACTCCTGGCATTAATGCTGCTCTGATTATAATGGGTCATCTAAGACACAACAGAATTGGTTTTGTAAGTTAAACACAATCCTTAAACTTTACAGTAGTCCACTGTGTTTACTAGTGCATAATGGGGAAATGTAAATGTGTGCATATTGTTTGTACCTTGTTTTGGTCAAGTTTTTGTACTTTATTTACCACCATGTCTATAAATGCATCTAAGATGCTTATTATTTTGGATGATTTGTATTGTTTACGGGGTGGCTGTGGCTCAGGAGTTAGGCGGTTCAATCCCCGGCTCCCCCAGGTTGCATGTCGAAGTGTCCTTGGGCAAGATACTGAACCCTGAATTGCCCCTGGTGGCTGTTCCGCCAGTGTATGAATGTGTGTGAATGTTAGTTTCTGTTTGAGCACTTCAGTGAATGAATGTGAGTGAATGGTGACTGGTGAATGCAGATGTAGTGTAAAAGCGCTTTGAGTGGTTGAAAAGACTAGAAAGACGCTATACAAATATGGAGCATTTACATATTGTTTGTGCAGTGAGCATGTGTTACTTTTGTTGTCTCTGTTTTGTTTTTACTTTGAATGAGACATACCATACATCCTTAGTCACAATCTGAGTGATCCACAAGCCATGCAGCATGAGAAGACATGAATAGCCTCTGGCAACCTCTGGGGAGAAAGGGAGAGACAGTCACACAGTAGGTGTGATTGTTTCATAGGTTCACTCTCTCCTCAGACTTAGTTTGCGTGCCACTACTCACAGACCTGGAACCAACTTTGAGTGATGAATTTATGAGTCAAAGGATGGGAACCTGCTGATTATCTCAAATGTTAGACAATAATATCAAACAACACATGCAGCAGTGCTATGTTAAGAAAGTGACACATTGACAGCGTGTGTGTTCTACCTGTGAAACTACAAATCAAGACATCCTAAACTGGTGATTAATTATACAGTGATATTGGTTTCCTTCACTAGACTACAAGAGCAAGATGATTCAGGCCCAACAGGAATGAAAATAAATCCATAAAATATGTGTTATAATAATAGTGGGAGTAATAGTGTAGAGTGGAGATGTATTAAAGGCTAAATCTTTTACTCTAATTGTGCTTTAGCAGTATTCACATATTATCAGAGTCTGAAAGCCAGACAGTAGTATGTGTGAGAGAAAGATTGCTGAAACAGTTTATAAACTGTTTATAAAAGTAAAAACTCTAAACCTGCATGGGCAGGTTTTGAGTTTTCCTTGGCATTTTAGCAGTGTGTGGGGCTGTGGTTCCTTTCTGCTTGTTTTAATGGCTTGCTGAAGAAAATATCTCATTTGGCTGTAATTCCCATGCCATCCCAATCTGCAGAGCTGGAGTACTGATTTACTGTAACTGGATGCTTATGAGGGCAGAAACCTCAGAATATGCACTGTTGCAAACCTGCAGAGGTAAATATAAAGTCAGATTTGTGGAAATAAGTAGAGGGTCCAAATGTGTGGGTCAGGGATACTTATTTTGATAGACTTGGCTGAGAGACGTGTTGGTTAACTTGAGTGGAGAAGACTCCAGTGCAATAATAATAGCTTTATTTGTATAGTGTTTTTCAATACAGTGAGCAAAGCGCTTTGCAACAATCAATGTAAAACATAAACAAGTAAATAAAAGAGAAAATACAAATAGGCCTCACACAGTGGTTTAGAACAATATAAAAACATATATAAGTCGAAATAAAATAAAAGAGATATATTCAAATTTCCAGCAGCAGCATAATGTTGCTTGAAACTTGGGTGGCAAGCTAGTCAATAAAGCTAGACAGCAACCAATGCATGAGCATACATACAGTGACGTTACTGATGACCGGGTGTGTTATCTAGTAAGTTTTCTTACATCAGCTCGAGTGACTAAAACATTAATATCACCGATAATTACAAGCCACCAGATCTCACTTTGTTCACTCAGCAAATTTTCTTCGTCTAATATGTTCAGAGTATTGAAAACCACATTTACTTGGCACTGTTGGGATCAGGTTGGGATCAGAGCAGCCCAGATTATGTTGAGATGGATTCAGATGTAGCAGACTGGTCAACTAAACATTCACTCTGTGAGTTATTTTAAAGAACCAAAAGATGCGGGGCTTTTGAGAAAACATTAGCAGGAAACCAAACAGTTGCTTATGTACATATCTAGCAGTTACAGAGCAATATTATCAATTTGGAATCGTGTTTCTGGCACAGAGGGGTAAGACAAAAATTCACTCTCTTTTAGCTCTGGTTTTGTCTCTACCAACTCCTGAGAAAAATAGAATTGATTGATTGATTGATAGATTTACTCCACTATTTTCACCAGCTAGTCAATAACTGCATCTGCCTGCTCTTTGGTGCTGAGCAGTCAGTGTACAATGGCTTTTTTCCAGAAAACACCTCAACACTTATGGCATTCTACTATACAGATAATTTTTAGCCTGAGGCTAGATGCAGTTTCAAGTTAGACAGTTCATCCACAGTTCCACCATCTCCTGGGGAGGGCAGGATTATAGGATATAAGGACATAAGAGATTTTTCTTGTCTCTATCTTTGGTTTATCGCCTACTACCAAAAATCCTCTTCAGACAAGAAGAAATGACTGTTTTGCTCTCAAGAGGCCTTATACAGTATAAATGACTCAATATATTGTATCGTCATGTAATGTTTCCAGTGCTCACACACAGACGTATTGAGGAGAGGCTCTTCAGCTCTCTTTTGGGAAAAACAAGCATCTCTTTGATGTCTTTATAAGGTTCAGGTCAGTGATCACAATGAGTGTAGCCCGACACTCACAAGCCCACTGTTTACGACTTCATTGGGGGGTTGGAAAAACCTTGTCAGGGACTCTGCAGATCTGCAGACTATCTTCTCCTTTTTCTGACAGTAAAAATGTCAATTTGGTGACTTGCCAGACTAGACAAGAACTTCTTCTCACAAGACTGAACACACACAATCTTTCTTCTCACCCCCTGATGTGCCTTGAGATATGGTTTGCCAGATGCCCACCACCATAAAAGATGAAAAGTTATTAATTCACAGAATTAACCTCCTGTTTGCATTGTGACAACACTGCCATCAGCTGACCAAAGGACAGAGACTTCTGCAACCATCACCATTATGGTTCTGTGTAATACTGTAGCTATTGTTGTGATTTATGTAGAGCAAAACGTTGTTGTTTAACACTTAGTAGGGTTAAAATGTATGTTTGACAGCGTAGTTAAGAGTCTCAGGTAAACTGGCTGAATGATCTGCTGAAATATCTGTCAGTTAAACGCTTTGAATGTTGTTATTACTATGCTATTTTCATATTTTGAATTACGTTGTATGACCATAATGATGTTAGAGTTGTGATTTTGCGCCTACAATTTAAATTAAAACCACCAGTCAGGAAACTAGAGAAGACAACGTTGGTTCCACACCCTTAGACAAAGGAGTATAGTTTTCAGCGTGAAAACTATACTCCTAACAACTAGTTAGTTGTAGAGCTTTACAGTCAACCCTCTTTCGGATATTTGTTTTTGTTATTTTTCTTAGACATTTTTCTTTCAGTTTTTGTGCCTCACCTAAAGTGAGTGCAAAATTTAACTATTTTCTCAGCAAGCGAGTTTCATTTCATTTGTTTTTAAGCTAAAGAGGTTGGGTCAGATATACACTGCTCAAAAACATAAAGGGAACACTTAAACAACACAATGCAAGTCAATCACACTCCTGTGAAATCAAACTGTCCACTTAGGAAGCAACACTGATTGACAATCAATTTCACATGCTGTTGTGCAAATGGAATAGACAACAGGTGGAAACTATAGGCAATTAGCAAGACACCCCCAATAAAGGAGTGGTTCTGCAGGTGGTGACCACAGACCACTTCTCAGTTCCTATGCTTCCTGGCTGATGTTTTGGTCACTTTTGAATGCTGGCGGTGCTTTCACTCTAGTGGTAGCATGAGACGGAGTCTACAACCCACACAAGTGGCTCAGGTAGTGCAGCTCATCCAGGATGGCACATCAATGCGAGCTGTGGCAAGAAGGTTTGCTGTGTCTGTCAGCGTAGAGTCCAGAGCACGGAGGCGCTACCAGGAGACAGGCCAGTACATCAGGAGACGTGGAGGAGGCCGTAGGAGGGCAACAACCCAGCAGCAGGGCCGCTACCTCCGCCTTTGTGCAAGGAGGAGCAGGAGGAGCGGGAGGAGGACTGCCAGAGCCCTGCAAAATGACCTCCAGCAGGCCACAAATGTGCATGTGTCTGCTCAAACGGTCAGAAACAGACTCCCTGAGGGTGGTATGAGGGCCCGACGTCCACAGGTGGGGGTTGTGCTTACAGCCCAACACTGAGCAGGATGTTTGGCATTTGCCAGAGAACACCAAGATTGGCAAATTCGCCACTGGCGCCCTGTGCTCTTCACAGATGAAAGCAGGTTCACACTGAGCACATGTGACAGACGTGACAGAGTCTGGAGACGCCGTGGAGAACATTCTGCTGCCTCCAACATCCTCCAGCATGACCGGTTTGGTGGTGGGTCAGTAATGGTGTGGGGTGGCATTTCTTTGAGGGGCCGCACAACCCTCCATGTGCTCGCCAGAGGCAACCTGACTGCCATTAGGTACCGAGATGAGATCCTCAGACCCCTTGTGAGACCATATGCTAGTGCGGTTGGCCCTGGGTTCCTCCTGTGTCTGGAGTATGTCAGCAGTTCCTGCAAGAGGAAGGCATTGATGCTATGGACCGGCCCGCCCGTTCCCCAGACCTGAATCCAATTGCGCACATCTGGGACATCATGTCTTGCTCCATCCACCAACGCCACGTTGCACCAGACTGTCCAGGAGTTGGCGGATGCTTTAGTCCAGGTCTGGGAGGAGATCCCTCAGGAGACCATCCGCCACCTCATCAGGAGCATGCCCAGGCGTTGTAGGGAGGTCATACAGGCACGTGGAGGCCACACACACTACTGAGCCTCATTTTGACTTGTTTTAAGGACATTACATCAAAGTTGGATCGGCCTGTAGTGTGGTTTTCCACTTTGATTTTGAGTGTGACTCCAAATCCAGACCTCCATGGGTTGATAAATTAGATTTTCATTGATAATTGTTTTGTGATTTTGTTGTCAGCACATTCAACTATGTAAAGAAAGGAGTATTTAATGAGATTATTTCATTCAGATCTAGGATGTGTTATTTTAGTGTTCCCTTTATTTTTTTGAGCAGTGTATTTTATTCAACAAGCCAACTTGTAACCCTTGAACAGCTTGTTTTCCCAACATAAATGGAGCTGTACCAGTTGCTGTGTCTGTGAAAGGTGCTATATGCTGTGGTGGCAGACGGTGAGTGTCCAGGTTTTCCCTCTTTTGTATGTAATTCTGTTTTTTTTTTTTTTTTTTTTTTTTTTTTTTCCTGGTTTTCTCTGTACTCCGCCCGCCTGCCTGTGTCTCCTCCCCCGTGTGTGCTCTCTCTGTCCCTCTCTCCCTCCGCTCCAGAGCCCAGCCAACGATCCGCACCCGCACCTCGTCAGCTGCCTCCTCTGCCTGCTACACCTGCCAGCAATCAACTCCATCTCTGCCAGTACTTCTACCCCGGTTCTCCAGTCAACCCCTGCTTGATCGTCGTCGCTCCTTACCCGGTGTCACCTCAACATTCAAACTCACACGTATCTTTGCATCCTTTCTATTTCCCTGTACTTTGTCTCTGCCGTGTCTGACCCTGTTTGTCTGTCTGTCTCTCCCCAGGTTCACTCACCCTCGTCTCCAGTCAGTCATCTGCTCACTTGCCCCTTTCCCTCGGACTACCCCCACGGCGTCCTCCCAGTTCTCCTGTGCCTCCTGGCCCTAGTGTCCCCCGGCTCTCTGGTCTCTGTCTCCTCGGTTCCCTTTGCCTGCGTTTCCCCAGCATCCACCTCACCCTCAACTCCAGTCCTTCAACCCCTTTTTTCCCCAAATTAACCTGCCTACCTGAGCGCTGCATTTGGGTCCTCTCTGTCCCCACACCACACCACCGTAACACTATATAAATAAAGTTTACTTACTTACCGTACCTGAGCCACTGCTTTGAAGTAACTCTCTGAAAGAATGATGCTCTGTGTTCCAATGTACAAAGGGTACAACAGAAGAAATCCTGATCCTGCATTTTTCTGAGAACTGTGCCTACTCAGCGTTGGCACAGACCTTTGACATTGGCCCTGCAACAAGACTGCTAGACCAGCTAGGATACCTCAACGACTGGGTGACCCACTGGTCTTGAGGGAGCGTAATGCACCTCACACTGCACAGCAGCCTGCACCCAACCCCAGAAACCAGCAGGAGCAGAAGACAAGGTCAATATATCAAAACAATTAAATTCCTTCTAAAGAGACTGATTAAATTAATAATCTAGATTTAATGAATTAGGTTTAATTTCCCTATTGTTAAATAAGTTAGTGCCCCGATGAGGAGAGACAACTTTTATGAGGAACACTCAAAATGTCACCAAGGAAAATGGTTTTGTGCTGGTGCAAAACTCACAAGAGAAAAAGTAACTAGCTTGGTGAAGAAAGTCGATAGAGCCAGATAAGAGCTGGCAGAGACCAAAAGAGAGCTAAACAGAGCCATGCTCTAAACTAACTCGAAGTTTAGCATGCTAGCCTAGAAACACTGAAAACCAGCCAAGCTCTGTCAAAAAAAACATCCTCAAAGCTGTCTTATCTACACATAGGTGTGTATTAAACATGTAGAAATGGAAAACTAGATATTGAGGCTTAAAGGTTCAGAATGTAATATTTATGTGGATCTACTGACAGAAATGCTATATAATATACTATATGTTTCAGGGCTCTAGTTTCAATTGCTTGTCAACTATTTGCCACCTAGCTGGGTGCACAAGCTACCTTATTTATTTAAAATACAGAAGAAAGTAGCTAATGCAGTGTTAACTTTGTGAGAGATTGAGAGGACCGGGCACGTGGTGAGAACTTGTTCCTAAGTTACAATTTTGCTTGTGATAAACAATGATGAGACAGGCCAAAAAAAGCTATGTAGCTAATGTGTAAGTGAAGTTACACCAACCTTTGCTAATGTCAGCTGCATGTAGCTCTATTAAAGCTACGTGCTGCGGTACCGCTCCCTCATTTGGGTGAGAGAGCTAGCCAAGAGATGTGACAGCAGAGAGTGGAGAATATTTTTTTACATGTTAAATAGGTTGCTCTGAATGGCCATAGGCACATAGCAAGTTACTTTGAATACACAGTTGAAAACAAATATGAAAGATCAAACATGGGAGACAAGAGTCAGACAGAAAACCTAATGCTTGCACAAAAATTGTATTGTGTTAGGTGGATTGTAAAATAAAGAAAAGAAGTGTTGAATATAGATGGTTAAGTTGATTTCAGCTCTTAGTGTTTGTATATGAGTTGTATGTTTTTATGGGAATGTGGATTTTTCAGATCAATTTGAAAAAAGTGCCTTTGATTTGCATGTTCAACATTTTATCGTGTTTCATGTAGTATGGGGGCCTGGTCCTGATCTTGACTTGGTCTCGCCCTACCTTGGTCTTGGTGTTGTCTTGGCCTTGGTACATTCTGGTCTTGATCATGACTTGCGCTCTGATTAGTCTTGACTACAACACTACTGTTAAGCTGATGATACACAGAGCAACTTTTAGAGCAATCGTGCAGGGCAACGTTATCGTCAATGGTAATGAGTAAAGATTACTACCGTAATCCCCTTCTCCCACCACTCAGCCACAAACCCTGCACCACCGCTATCCGTTCATAGTCAACATAGTCGGACTTGCCACTAGCAAGATTGCCCAGCAACATGGCTCAAAAAATTGCCCAGTGTATCATAATATCCTTTGCCATTCATCAACTCTGCTTTTGATCCACTTCAGGGAGCAACAGTTTACTCCAAACTGGTTCTCAGGAACGCCATCTGGTCCATCTGGTTTGAATCAAGAAAGGGGTACGTTGGAAGGCAGCTTTAAACATGCCTCTAGGACACAGCAGAGGATATTTGAACCCAAAGTGCAGACTGAGAACACAGAGTCAGGAACGAGGGTATTACCAGGGTTTATTGTCCAACAATGAATGGTGCCAAGAAAGAACTGTGTCTGGGGATCAAGGTGGCAGGGGGGTCCAAATGGGGTTTTAGACCAGATGAGAGGGGGGAAGAGGCTAATCCCAGGTCCAGGGGCAGAGCGATCCAATCCAACAATCTAAAGTCCAAGTGTCCTGGGAAACTTAGGGATTTTCTAAATTGTTAAATTTTTATGTACATTAAAGATTTTCTCATTTTCTCCCAAACCTGTCTAATCATATCTAACATGTTCACCAGGTACATCAGAGATCATATCATTTTTTGGTCTGGTCTAATGCGATCCCTCTTGTCAGTTTAGTGTGGAGGTTGAAGTTTAGAAATTGGGGTAAGGCCAGTTCTCTCCCAGCATTTGGCTCCAGAACAAAGGTCCATCCCTGCACCTTTTTCTCCAGTGGGGCGGATTAATGACACTGGGAATGGGAAGTTTCTTGCTGTCAAACTGACATTAGGAATTGGAGACATTTATTGGAGGGAACTGATCAACCTTTTGTGGTGTCGACTGACCATAAAAATCGAACGTCCTCTCGCCAAGTAACTTTACTCTTACTTACAGACCATGTTCTACAAATGGCAAACCTGATGCTCTCTTCCACCAACACTTCTCTAAAAAGCTTCCCAGCTGCTTTGTGGCAGCAATCCTGGGAGATCAAATCTGTGGTGAGAGAGGCCTAGCAACACCAACTGCACCCAGGTAATGGTCCAAGTTCCACAAACCGTTTATTTGTCCCTGACTCTGCCTGTTCTCAGGTTCTCTAGGGGATGCATATCGCTCACTTTGCCTGTCATCCTAGGATCAACTGCCCACTGTCCCTTCTCAAACGGCACCTCTGGCGTTGCTCATGGTAAATCCTCTCACTGTCCACCTGCTGCTCTGCTACGTCCTCTACCTGTCCCTGCAGGTAACACTACTATTGTCACTCTTGTTGACTGTTTTTCCAAAGCACTACAGATCTTCTTAATGTTTTCATCTCCCTGGTATCCCTTTAGACATTGTATCAAACCAGGGGCCCCAATTCATTTCTCAGGTTTGGAAAACCTTCTGTCAGGCTCTCGGTACCTCAGTAAGCCTTTCGTTTTATATTTAGCTGACGCTTTTATCCAAAGCGACTTACAATAGCTATATATGTCAGAGGTCACACGCCTCTGGAGAAACTAGGGGTTAAGTATCTTGCTCAGGGACACATTACTGGATGTGTCACAGTGGGGAGTAGAACCCGGGTCTCCAACAGCAAAGACATGCGTCTTATCCACTGCCCCGTCACCACCCCATCCCTTTTGTTTTCACTCAGAGACCAACACTTAAACAGACAGGGCTAACCAAGATCTTAAGGCAGCAATTTGGTTTGCAACCGCCACCAGTTCCCTGACCAATGCAGCCACAGGCTTTTCCTCATTTGAAGCTTCTTCGGGTTATCGGGTATTCAAGACTATAACTACCACAGCTCCTCACTCATTTTTTTGCCAGATTGTTCAGTCGCCAACTTGGTCCTTACCCTACAGCCAAACTCAAGTAGTACTAGTACTTTTGTTCCTGGTGTTGCTTGACTTTTGCCTGACATTGTGTTTGCCTATGCCTCAAGATTTTTCCCTGCGGGAGATTTCAGCCTGCGCCATTTAGAGTTTTACCGGCTCTCTGTTGACTGCCCAACTCACCTCACTTATCTTGATCCCAGTGAAACTCTTGACAGCGCCCTGCTTATTCCATTTGCTTGGATCTCTGTGGAACTCTGATCAAGAGATCCCACTTGCACATTCTGACACTAAAGCTGATGCTACATGGTACGGCTCAGGAGATACAGCGGTTTGGTTGTTAATCGGAAATTCGGCGGTTCAATCCCGGCTCCCCCAGGCTGCATGTCGAAGTGTCCTTGGGCAAGATACTGAACCCTGAATTGCCCCTGGTGGCTGTTCCGCCAGTGTATGAATGTGTGTGAATGTTAGTTTCTGTTTGAGCACTCAGTGTGTGAATGGTGAATGCAGATGTAGTGTAAAAGCGCTTTGAGTGCTCGAAAAGACTAAAAAGGCGCTATACAAATACGGAGCAACTTTTAGAGCAACGGTGCTGGGCAATGTTTCCGTCAATGGTAATGAGTAAAGATTACTACCATAATCCCCTTCCCCCATGACTCCGCCACCCTCCCCGCACTATATGTTCAAAACGTCGGACTTGCCACCAGCAAGATTGCCCAGCAACATTGCTCAAAAAGTTGCCCCGTGTATCATCAGCTTTAGAATACATCTGACTGTTCATCTTTTATATCCTTTGTCAGCTTTAAGTACCAGCTTTCACTACGTTTTCAATATAGCAGTGATTGCAAACACAACTTCGTCAGTACTGAAAAACGATTGAGATTCAGTTCCCAGCAGGAAGGAACAGTGCAGTTTATCTGAAGAACACTACATTTGTTTGTATTGGAATTTCTGGGACAATACTGACAACAAACACTCTCACATTCATTATACCTTAAAAAGCATCACTCATACCAAGTGTTATCAGATAAAATGATAATGAAAAAACTAGTACTCAAGGATTCTCAAATTGATTGCATTTTATCCAGATCTGACAATGACATTTTGCCATGTGTCTTAACATGTTATTATGTTTAAGATGGTCCCTTAGAAAATAACAGGAACAACCACAAAGAGTACATTTTTGTCTTTTTTATTCACATAATGATTTAATCTACTGTTGTTACTCTTAACATTTCTGGTGTGTCATTACAAGCACTTGTGGTCAAAGTGGGTACTTGAGAATTTATGAGGAAAATTCTTGAATCAGTGTTGCTGGCATCAGTCACACAATTGTCACTAACAGAAAATGAGAATGAACTGCCTGATGTTTGTTCAAGGCACAATCCTCTGCCATGCTGAACTGCTGATATTGAACAATTCTGCATAGTCGTGGATTATGTTACCGTGTCCAATATCAACAACATCTGTGGATGGCAACCACGATATGGTTACAGTTGTGTTTATGACAAATAAACCGTGATTAAGGTTAGGCAACTAAAAACTTAAGTTAAGGTTAGGGAAAGATTGTGGGTACACTTAAAAACCAAAGTGGACTGTGACAGGACACAAACTCTGGTCTGCTGCAAGAAAATCAGATGCGCTACACGCCCATTTACCACCCAATCAGGACAAATATAGGCTAAAGCTAGCCTAATTCATAGGCTCCTGATACAAATTCAGTATACTCTAAATGTAAATGGACTCTGGAGTCTGGCCTGAAATGAAGAGATTCTTTACCATTCTTTCAGTCCCATAAAAACAGTAACAATTTAACTGTAAATATGCTTACATAAAGCCAGGTGTATCAGAATACTTTAAATATAAAGCAAGGATTCCATGTCTTCCTTTTGGCAGAATGAAACTGAATAATGGATGGCGCTTTTCTGGAGAAACTTTTAATAAGCAGAGATGCCTGACTTACAACAAACTGCTAGATTTAGATTTTTAACATCTTTCCTGTGCAGATGGTTGATTAATTGTGAATTTAGTTGGTGACCCAATCAATCAATCAATCAATCCAAAGAATAAACAGATCATAAATAAGGTGTACCATACACTGGCTGTATTACTTGACTGCGTTCTTTACCACAGAGGACTGTTAGCATGATTACATATACAATTTTATATACAACATGTTATTATATACCTTTATCGTGCATATAGGTATTGTTTGAAAATATAATTTATGAATTGAAACACATTTTAATATACACAAGGCTTTGGACTGGATTAATTCATCCACTGAAATGTTGTGCATCATAATAATCAAAATAATAAATTGAAATTGAATGTTTCAGTGACTTCACTGAATTTTTTTAATTATTCTGAGTTACTGCTTGCGAGCATACGCTAATGTAGAGAGGCAGGTTTAATGCTGTGCCTGTGGAGAAAGGAGGTGGTGGTGGAGGAGTCAGAAGGCAGCAGCTCTTGAAATGGCCTCCACATCACACAACATGCACATGTGTAAGCAACATGCTCCACCAAAGCATTTCATGGTCGACACAAACTGGCCGTGTAAACCATCCTCAGTTGTGACAGGATAATGAAAAACATCATCCACACCTGCAGAACAGACACAGGCAGTGCTGGGTTTGCACGCACTCCATTAGCATCCCTGCTGGTACCCCTCACTTTCAGTTATTGTCCAAGCAGCTTTGTGGTTATTCATCAATCAGTCTGATGAGAAGGCACTGAGCCATCTACAGAAAAGTAGATATTCATGCTACTTTTCCAAATAAAGGGATGCATTATGCAAAGACGTATGCCCACCTTTCGGATTATGAGCATGTCACTTATATGTTCATTTCATAGCAGGCCCCACTGCTCACAGTTGCTGTCCTCTTGTCTATTTCAGACGCTGCTATGGGGTGGCCTCATCTGCCTGCAAGGAAAAACAAATACACAGAGACGCTTGAGGCCACATCTAATTAGGTGTTCAAAACAGGGACCACCTTGCCTCAATGGCTTTTCCTCCAATACTTAATAAATAAATATTTTCTATATTGAAACAACTTGAAATTAAGTGTATTTATGCATGTATAGTTAGCTACTAACCAAAGGGGAGAAGAAAGGCCAAGTTGAAATCTTTATCCAATTTTGAAAGCTTGTATATTTTGTTTAAAAGACCAGTGTGTAAGATTTAGTGGTGAGGTTACAGACTGCCACCAACTGATAACCCTTCATCTAACCCTTCCTTTACAAGTGTGTTGGAGAACCTATAGCGGTCACTACACTTGAGCCAGTGTTTGGTTTGTCCATTCTGGGCTACTGTAGAAACATGGCGGGCACAACACAACAGTCCTTATTTTTAGGTGATCATACAACAATAAAAACATGGATCATAGAGAGCCTTAGTCCCTCCCCTTCCGGTGGACCACCATGGGACCTTATTTCGGGAAAATATTGTACGGTAGTCAATGGCAGGAGACAACAAATATTTTGATCCCGTTTGAATTTTGCCCTGAATTACACATATGATCTTTGTCAAAGATACATTTTAAATTAAAGAAGGTCGCAGTTTGATGTAAAACTGTTGAGATATAAGACTGTGAAAATACGTAATTACAAAGACCACAAACCCAAAAGTCGCGTATGTGACGTAACTTTCTCTGTCAATGACTGAAGCTAACATTACTGAAGTTAACCTCAAAACACTTACATGAGAGGATGATGCGATAAAAGAGCCAGGAGTCATTGGATTAAACACATCAGGTGAGATATATTTCTGCATGGAACATAGCTACATTATCTAGCTAGTAGCAAGAAAGCAATGAACATTAGCTAGCTTTACCGCGCTAACATGTTGGTGACGTATATAGACGAGAGATGTAGTTCATTGAGCGGTTTCACACAAAAACAACATGTAACTTTACTGTTTTACAACAAATTGTGACTTTCTTGACTTGCAAAATTCTATTTTAAATTGACCAACATCATATGTGTAATTCAGGGTTCAATTCTAACGGGATAAAAATATAAGTTGTCTCTCACCATTGACTACCGTACATAATTTTTCCAGAATAAGGTCCCATGTGCCGGAAGTGGAAGTGAGTGACTTAGGCTCTCTATAGCCAATATTGCTAGTTCATTAAAAAGTACATTCTTGTGTTATTTATGACAAATCTCCACTTAACATTGCTTTTTATCTGCAGTGGTACACTTACCTGTCCATGCAGAAGCTGCTGCAGTCAGAGTCAGTCTGCTGTGTACAAACACATCGCTGGGCCACCGCGCCCCTGCTCCCGGGCTCAGTCCCAGTGGAGCGCCTCTTCCGCACAGAGCCCTGGTAACTGGACATACCATAAGGTACAGTGTACCTAAAGAAGACACACATAATGTGCACTGAGTGACCAGAGAGATACAGTAGGAACCCCTGACCGACATTTCACTTGGACAGTCTTATAGGCTTATGCTGTTCATTTTTGACACTGCGTCAGAGAGAAATTGATTGGACTCTAGAGATTTTTAGAGGGCTGTTAGTGGCAGAGTTATACAGGACTGCATTATACTGCTTTTAATATTTTGTCCTCCAGCGTTTGAATATAACATGAGAACAGAACATAGGAAACACCTTTCAGAATAATGCAGTCCAGTACAACACCACCAGACAACAGACTTCAATAGTCTTCAAAAATGACCACATTTAACCACTCTAAAATAATATATAAAACAACTCTACATAAGCTTCACACAGGTATTTATATTTATTATAACTGTTGTTGGGTTGTATAGATTGTAAAGATGTAGTAAGCGAATCAACATTCCCTTGTACTTAAGGAAAAGGTTATTTGAACCCTAAATCCATGTTTATTCTTGACAATGCTAGTTAACTTTGACATGCCAGGTCAGGTCAGGCTGTCTCACTGTGATTTATATACATCCCTTTGGTACAGTATATTTTAATATTGCTGGGTATGTAAATTACAATAAAATTTCTTTGCATATTGAGAGCTGGCATTATTAACACTATAGACTAATAAAACCCTGCTGTGAACCGCTCACTCTCTGAGCACCTCACACTTTTGTACCATGCAGGCCGTGCAGGATGTGAAAATACCAGAACAAAGGGCATTTCAAGGTTGAAAAAACATAGAGGCATTGATGTTAGCCATTGTCTGTACTGAACAGCATGACCAAACAGCTTCCATGCACAAAGAGATTTTTTAAGCAAAGGTATTAATTAATAGTTAACATAAAAGTTAAAAGATAATTTCAGTGTATTACAATGTGGGTCTTTTTTTATCTTAATTTTATCTGTTATGATAACACCACGATAACGCTAACATGGGAGTTTGGCTGACTGCTTGTTTCTCTTGACCTGTTATTGTAGCCGCCACATTCCCAGATCTCAGCAGTTAGCATGGTGAGCACGATGTTGCTATTACTGGTGGGAATGATTTCCAAAACCACAAAAATAACATCCACGAAACCAGTTTTTCTTTAATTTCAGACATGCAACTTGCGTGCTTTGCTGCTCTCACAGCACGTATCATCTAGTTTCATTTGTGTTTTGTGGATTCATCTTCGTCAAGCATCCCAGATTCTTTGCCTGCTCCCCTTTTTGGAATTGTTTGCCTTGAGTTGGACTGCTCACCTGTTTTTCTCCATAAGCTTGTTCAACTTTTTGTTTAATTATTAATAAACTCATAAAATAAACCTGCTCTGCCTGGTAATCTGTGTTTGGGTCCAAACTAAACCCCTGGTTTTCCTGTGTCTGCGCTTGGCTCATCATGACAGCACGTGATGAGCTCGTCACAACGACCCTGCCTTTTCTCCACATGGCATTCATATAATTACACTCATTACAAGAAGGTATTAGAGTACATTTAACAGTTGCCTCATTACACTGATACAGTTCTGAACAGCTCTGTTTTGGCCTGTTGAAGGGTATGGTATGGCATCTCCTTCACTCATTTTCTTAATCCTTTGACACCTTTTGGAGGAGAATTGTGACTCGTTTGTACGAAAAAAGCACTTGCGGAGATCCTTACATTTCAAAATATACAAGATTTATTATGTCAAAAAAAATCTCTGTGGTTGACTTTCAACTGAACCTATAAACTTAGAAGTAGGCTTTTCTGATAGTAATATGTCTACAATGCGGTCACTAATCTGATCTATACTAGTCCTACTCTCTCATTCAAACAGAAGAAATTCCCAAGCTGTCACCCAGGCCCTTATTTTACCTGTAAATGACCCAGTGAAGAGGAGGAGGAGACGAGGTTACCATTTTCCCCAACATTAGTTTAATGTTATTTAAAAAACCTTATTTAAAATCCAAAGTCTAAATTTCATCATCTCAAATTATAAGCATTTATTTGTGCCAGAAAAAAGATTCTCAGCTCAAGAGCCAACCACAGCCAACTCACACACTGCCTAGTTAACATTGACAGATTATCCAATCCTTTGACTGTGAGTACAGTGCTCTACCGACTGAGCCAACCAGTGACACTGACAACCACCCTGAAAAAGAGACCTATTATCTGTCTTATACTGGCTAAGATGCTTTACGGGGGGAAGATGAAAGTAAATACTGCCACCTGCTTTACCGGAGGGGAATGTAGCAAACATGTCATATGCCCAGCGTTTTTTGTTTTTTTTTTCTTTAGAAAGGTTAGATTTACAGGAAAATATTTAAACGGGAGAACAGCAGGAAAGGCTGGTAAAATATGGGAGAATCCCGGGACAAATAGGAGAGTTGACAGGTATGGTGGAGAGAATGCTTGACCTCATCCACGGTTCTACTGGCCACAAATGCACACAAAGATGTCGAACATTTCGTTCTCAAAGCGCGTTGGTTTTGTTTTGACAGGCTAAGTCCTCAGCATGCTGCGCAGCTGCCGTTGTGAACGGAATCGCAGGTGGAAAAGTCCAGAAGACAAGTACATTTTATTCAATGTAGCCTAAAACTAATGGAGAAAGTTACCGGAGCAGACATACAGGGTGGGAGAGACGCGGGGCACGCTGATGTGTTTGCAACAGAGATAACTTACGTTAGGTCTGTGAGCTTGAAGAGAACTGAAGGAGGCAGATTCAATAAGTGAGTGACACTTAAATAAGGTGGAGAATGAAGTATAATTAAAACGGTGAACAGACTACTTCAAATAATAAACATGTAGGCCTACCCACTAACACCGATCCAACATTCCTGTTTACTTCTGTGTACTTCCACGCTTCACACGTTTAAATTGTTTGTATCAGTTCCATGCCGCTGGGACTTTACTTATGTTAGTTTCTGCCACTGCGTGTGGGGGCCAATAACCGCGCTTTATCAGACAAAAGGCCAGTACTGCCCCCTGAGTTTAAGTTTGGCAGGCCTGTCTGGCATTTTGGATCATTTGGATCATCATTCATTTTGAATTCTGTTTTCCATCTCCTCGCAGACCTGCCAGAACTGACTGTGGATTGTGTTCCCTCAACCTGCTCAGAGCAGCCTGCTACTTTGCCTCATGCCCTGCTCCAGCTCACTCGGCTTTCCCCCCAAAAATCCCTCTGGATCAGTCTCCTCATGCTCCTGTGCTCTATCGTGCTCCAATCCCCGGTTCAGCAAAAGTCAAATATAGAATTATAGCTCAGGCGAAAGGGGTTAAACAAACAGGTTAAAAGGGGAACAAGTGCTGAGCACGTATGGGCTGCATTATGCTGCTCATGTGGTGGACAGTGTCCCTCGTCCACAAGTAGACTTTCACATTTTGAGAAAGCTGAAGTGGAAAATTTTACAAATTTCAACTGATGCAAAGTCTAAGCAGGAGCTATCAGTCTTCTGTGACCCATTAGCAATCAATATCTGCAATACATTCACATTCCAAGTGACAGCAGAGGAAAGACCTTCCGATTGCAGCTTGATTCATTCGCCATGGTATAACCCCTGGGTAAGGGGAGATAAATCTAGAAGGTAACACCCAGCCAGTCTGTCAGGATGCAGCGTCTTTGACCTCGTCGCACTGAGGTTCGCTAGTTCAGAAGGTAAAAGGTGTACAGGTTTTGTTTTTAAGAGCAGATCAGCTCTAAAACATGCGTACCCCACCATAAAAATGTTTAACGCTCTGCCTAATTTGATCATCTTTCCAGTGTTCTGCATGTGCTTGTGGGAGCAGAAAACAGATGCTGCACTGCTCTCTGCAGGCTGAAAACTAATCTGCTTTATGCTGCAGATAGAAATCAGTTGGCATCTTCCAGCAGGTGATGCAGCAGGTGATTAGTGTATGTTGTTTTCATTTTCATGCTAGAGATCAAAAATGTTGGGACTTGGAAATATCCAACCTGTGGCAAGTCAAGTGCAATATTTTGAGGTTTCACATTTGCAGATTGTGAAGCTGGTTTGAAACAAAAACAATTACAAGAACAACTATAAGAATGCTGAATGAGTGAATGAGGAAAGTAGTGGTCTTGCCTAGTCAGACCCACCTGAGGGTGTTGGTTTTGGTATAATAGAATAAATAACCTTTCCTGTTATCATGTTTCGTGTTTAAATTCCATGTTGGCAGCAGAATTATGTAAATCTAAATTAGTGCTATTCAGTAACAATCAAAACATCTCAGATGGCCAAAAGGTGCACCCCCTGCTGCCTGACGGACACGGTCAGCAATCCTCAGTGGAAAATAAATACCTGAGAGCTCAAAGTCTAGACCACTTTGGATTACAACTCTTTACAGTTCCCAAAGTCACAGAAATTACTTACATAAGAGGAAATGCCTGGTTTGTTTTGCAGCTTAGTTTCTCAAAAAGCCTTTCATGGTTTAAGAAAATGGAGATTATTTCTTTAACTCAAAGCTTAGGGCTTTCTTTTCTCCATAGCGCTCATATTTGTGCCTCCAACGGTATACCTGTAGCCTTCTAATGATGATAGCTTTCCTGCACATACAATGTTCAAATAATAAAAGACTGAAGCTGAAAGTCTCAAATAGAAAGTCTATGATTAAAGTCTTTAGTAAGAGTTGTGACTACAGTAAGCATTTGAGACATGACACTATAAGCTTCAGTCAACTTTAAAATGATATTGATGGAAGTACATGAATGCTACAGTGATGTCATTAGTACATAGTGTAAAGTCACTATAGAGGCATCATAGTAACATAAAAATCTAAAATGATTTACTTAATAAATGGAGGAAACAGAGAATATTTGAATAGTGACTCTTACTCTGGTGTGTTGATCCAGATGATGTCCAGGTGGCAGTAATACACACACTCCTTGTCTTTGTATGTGTAACACGTGCATCTCTTTGCACGCCTTCTAGCCCCCGGTGGGTCACAGGCAGAGCAGGGCTTTGCTTCACCATGAGACGCGACACCGGCTTGGTCATCCACACCACGGAGCAGGAATGTGCTCAACTTGAATGCTTCCACCTCCCTCCTGTTGCTCACATCTTTGCTCGATGAGGAAGCTGCAGGCATTTGCAGCAATTTGAGAAATGTTTCAGAACTTTCTTTCATATCCTTGGATTGAAATAGCATTACAAATGAAAACCCTCTCCAAAAATATTTCTGTAGGTACATGAGTCTGTGTGTTTGTGCCAGTATGACTATACTTAATGATATTTTTACCTCTCATTGTATTCTTCTAATAGTCCCTATTCATAATATTGCTGGAAGGAGAGCATGCTATTTGAGAAGCATTTGAGAACTTCCTTTCACATCTTTGGCCTGGAAGATCATTACTAAAGGTAAACTTGACCTGGCTATACCCCTGTGGGTAAATGTGGTGTGTCTTTTTTAGTGCAAATTAAGATTATTAGAGGTAATCCAATCTCAGTGTAATCTCAATAACTGACTGCAATTTCTGATACAAGCAAAAGTATTTTTCTGATTGGTAGACTAGTCAACTGGGAATTAATTATGGCTGATGGCCGTTTAAATGATGGATCAATTACTTTAAGTAATTTAAAGTTAATAAGTTACCGGAGATGAGCATTTGTGATTATCAATACATTGTCTAGACTTACTCATCAGTTATTTGAGAAAAATGGCTAGATAAATGCATAATGAAAATAACTGTCCTAATCCTTACACCTAATAGACCTTGCACTGCAATGTGTGCAAAAGTGAATTGTGATGTCATAGTGACATAATTCAACACCTGTTAATGATTATTTCTGCAGTATCATGCTGAATGTCATAATAGAATTTATAGCAGTAACACTTTTTATTGCCGCACAGTTTTAATTAACTAGATAAGGGCTAATTGCACGAATTGCATAATTCATCTGTCAAGCTTCTCCATCACCATTTTCCTAGTATTTGTGCTTTCATGATGTGCAAAACAGCTGTGTGAACAATATTTATTTATGTATTAAAGCCCCGCGATAAAAAAAAAAAGACCACACAATAACCAACAGTAGCCTAAGTTACTCACCATTTGCCAAAGATGCTGTCCCCACGATAAGAAACAAAACTCCCACTTCAACCAATGACACATTAGCCATCACACATGAAACATTAGAAATAAAAAGTCCTGTTCTGCTTCGGTGTTTTTCTCCGTGAGGTTAGGAGTCCTGATAAAACATCATATATCTTATTTTCCAAAATAGCTGCTGACAGCCTGCGGAGACGCGCTGGTGAGACTGCGGTGTGCGTCCCTCAGCCGGACGCTGCTTTATTAAGAGCGGACGAGTCAGCGACAAGTCAGCTGCAATATTACGCATACTTCCCTTTGCTGTTTTCAAAATAAAAGTCGTGTTGGTTAAAAGTCAATGAGAAATTTGAGACGTTTTGCAACTGTTCACTGCTGAATACAGGTGTTCTGTCGATTTATGCTACTGTTGCTAGCGGTTCTGCGCATGCGTATGACCCACAAGTGTGGTCTGTTTCCCCGCCCATCCTTGCTGTTGGGCATGCCATCCAGAGTGGCTGATTGTCAGCAATATCAAAAAAAATATTAGTCATTATAGTCTATCAGAATACGCTACCCCTGAAATGATGTTATAATATAATAAAAAAATAACAGAAAATGTCATAATACTGTGAGAGTTATGACTTTATAGGATTGGAAAAGGGAACACAAGGTAGCATTTTTCGTCAGAACAACGGTCCACCAGTGTTTCCGTAGCCAAATTATAGGCTACACAATAGGGTGAATTCAGGTATATTGGGACAGTTTTTTATGCTATTTTGAGAGCATATGAGTTAGTGCCGGAAACATACCAACAGCGTTTTCGCGAACTTCAGAAAGCTCACGATCACACATATAGATTTTTCTCGTGAAAATGGAATCCTCTTTGATAGACGGTGCGTAGCATGTAGAGCGAATGATGTGGCCTCTATACGTGACCTGATTTTGCTCAAGGATCTTAAGAATTGTTTGCCGTAGGGTACTGCTGTATATCTGGGTGAGCAAAAACAAGTTTGCGCTTCTGCACAAGTTTACCTTTACTAAGCATGATGTTTCTTCACAAGCAGGGTTTCAAAAGACTGAGCAGCCACAGCGTAATCCCTTTAACAGTCGGCCCAATGTGTCCCCCATTCAAAAGGCAGACAGAGTCTTTTGTTTCTTTTGTTGCAAGCCTGGACACGTAATTGCTGAGTGCGGAACTTGGAAGAGGCAGCAAACTAGTCCAAATCAAAAGCAACCCAAGGGTGTAGGGTTGATTAAAACGTCTCCCCGACCCCAGGGGTTAGAGTAACAAGTGCGTGAGACAGCTGATGTCTGTTTTAAAGCTTTTATCTTTGAAGGTTTTGTCTCTCTGACAGGGAAAGCTGAAGACCAGCAACAAGTGAGAATACTGCGGGACACAGCTTGTTCGCAGTCGTTAATCCTTTCTGGCATTCTTCCTGTATGTGACAGTTCTGACGTGAGTGCAGTAGGTGAAAGGTATTGAAATGGGTTTCGTACCAGCGCTACTGCAACAGATTTATATGCATTCTGACCTAGTGACAGGAATTTCCACGGTAGGTGTACGTGCAGAGTTTCCGATAGAGGGCACTGCCGTAATCATGGGGAATGATAATGCTGGGGGGACAGTGCTTCCTGTCCCTGAGTCTGAGCAGGATGAGTTGGTGAAAAACCATCCCCATATATCTGTAGCCAGTGTGACCACAAGAGCGCAGTCTCGTAAGCAGACACAGGATATTAATCTGTCTGACTCACTTTTTGCTTCCACTTTCTCTGAGGAAGGCGTGCCCCATGGTTATGGTCCAGTGAGCTGCAAGGCAGACAGGACTGAGAAGGAAATGGTCTGCTGACTGTCGGACGCAGATACTATCGTTGGCACATGAGTATTTATGGTCCGGTCATTTGGGCATCAGTTAAACCTACAACCGTGTACTAAAACAGTTCTTTTGGCCAGGTATAAAAGCGAATATGGCCCGTTCTTGTAAAACCTGCAGAACCTGTTGTTGGCAAACCAAACCAGCCTTCGCACCGGCCCCGTTGCTGTCAGGATTTGTGGTGTGGAAGGGTGGTGGACCCAAATGCTGACTGGTTCAGTTCAGAAATTTATTAAGCAAACAAAAGGCGAGCACACTTACAACTGTGGCTGAGTCCATAATTCATAGTAGTCCAAGCAAACAATCAGAAGGAGCTTTATTGCCAAGTAGTGTTTTACACATACGAGGAATTTGCTGTGGTGATAAGGTACTACACGTAGACAAACATACAGTCGACATAAATAAATGTAGAAATATATAAATATGGAATAGAAGAACAACGTTGCAGATATGTACATGTGCATTATTCTGGGTCTGTGCTGTGCAGAAGTAACACGACGGAAGAGAATATTGTGTACATATAAATATATAAACTGACAACATAAAAATATACAACAAAGATCAACAACAAATATGTGTGACGTGCCAGGTCTGTGCACATCACGAGATGAAACAGTATTTACATGTGCAGAGACATTTGTATCATTTGCAAGGGGGGGGGGGTGTCAGTGGGGGACCCGGGCCTTGTTAATGAGGCTAGCTGCAGACGGGAAGAAACTGTTTTTGTGGCGAGAGGTTTCGGTCCTGATGGACCGCAGCCTCCTGCTAGAGGGGAAAGTCTAAAACAGTTTGTGTCCGGGCTAGGAGATGTCAGCTGCAATCTTTCCTGCACGCCTCAGAGTCCTCGAGGAGTACAGGTCCAGAAGAGATGGAAGATTGCAGCCAATCACCTTCTCCGCAGAGCGAATGATACGTTGCAGCCTGCCCTTGTCCCTGGCAGTGGCAGCAGCGTAGCAGATGGTGATGGAGGAGGTGAGGATGGACTCAATGATGGCGGTGTAGAAGTGCACCATCATTGTCTTTGGCAGGCTGAACTTCTTCAGCTGCCGCAGGAAGTACATCCTCTGCTGGGCCGTCTTGGTGAGGGAGGTGATGTTCAGCTCCCACTTGAGGTCCTGGGAGATGATGGTGCCCAGAAAGCGGAAGGAGTCCACAGTGGTGACTGGGGAGTCACACAGGATGATGGGGAGGATGGGGCTGGGCTCTTTCTGAAGTCCACGACCATCTCCACTGTCTTCTGAGCGTTGAGCTCGAGACTGTTCTCGCTGCACCAGGTCACCAGATGGTCGATCTCTCACCTGTAGGCGGACTCATCCCCACCTGAGATGAGCCCAATGAGGGTGGTGTCGTCCGCAAACTTCAGGAGCTTGACAGACTGGTGACTGGAGGTGCAGCTGTTGGTGTACAGGGAGAAGAGAAGGGGGGAAAGAACACAGCCTTGAGGGGATCCGGTGCTGATGGTCCTGGAATCAGAGACATGTTTTCCCAGCTTCACGTGCTGCTTCCTGTCTGTCAGGAAGTCTGTGATCCACCTGCAGTTGGAGTCAGGCACGCTCAGCTGGGAGAGCTTGTCCTGCAGCAAGGCCCGGGATGATGGTGTTAAAAGCAGAGCTGAAATCCTCAAACAGGATCCTGGTGTAGGTTCCTTGGGAGTCCAGGTGCTGGAGGATGTAGTGAAGGGCCATGTTTACTTCATCACCTACAGACCTGTTGGCTCTGTAGGCAAACTGCAGGGGGTCCAGGAGAGGGTCTGTGATGGATTTAAGGTGGGACAACACAAGGCATTCAAAGGACTTCATAACCACAGAGGTCAGGGCGACGGGTCTGTAGTCGTTTAGTCCCGTGGTCCTTGGTTTCTTGGGGACAGGGATGATGGTGGAGGCTTTGAAGCAGCCTGGCACATGGCATGTCTCTGGTGAAGTGTTAAAAATGTCTGAACACCAGAGACAGCCGATCAGCACAGTGCTTCACAAGGTGAAGGTGATCCAACAGGAAATCCAAAAAGGAGTATAATCCAAAAACCAAAGAACTAACTGGGAACAGGACGAGACAGCGCAAACTACAACCACAACAACAGACGGGGCGTCTACATGCTACAATGACCACACAAAGACTGAGGGAGTCAAGCAAGCATATATACACAGGGTTAACGAGCTGGGTGGGGATACACAGGTGAGAGACATGAGACTAACGAGACACAGGCAGGCAGAGAGAGCAGGGGAAAACAGAGAATAGCAGGCAGGAAGATTACTGAGGGGGAAAAGACATAACACAATTTATTTAATACTAAACATATCAGAGTAATATAAATAAACTAATACAAGCAGACAGATCACAAATAACACCAACAAGGAACACAGACAGAAGCTAAGGTTAAACAGAACTCAGAGCAGACATGGGCAAAACAACACAGAAGTACACAGACCAGGGGTAAACACTTAAGACATGAACTAAGGTACATGACTAAGGACTAAGACACTGAACTAGGAACTAAGATACAAGACAAGACATATACTAAGTAACTTAAAGATGCTGATGAATAATAATAAGGGCTACACAGAGACTAAAGCAGAATGATCAAAATCAGATTAATTAATGAAACTGGCAGAGAACATAAATAGACACCTAGCAAACAGACAGAACTCAAGCATGATGGTACGGAAACTAATACATAAGACTGGGACAGAACTGAAATCAGGAAAATACCAAAACACCACTAAACACCAGCTGTAGGATAATAACCAGATAAACAAACAACATCAGGTAGAGGACGCACACTAACGGTAGCAAGCAAACTAAAACTAAGTCTAAACTAAGCACAGCAAAAGAGATTCTAACTGATAAGACAGGGTGGCTAAGGGAGACAAGATAACAGAACAACACAGACCACAAAGACTGGATACAAGACCACAGACTATATAACAGATACCTAAATGATAAATGAAATAAACTCAGAGAACTAAACGAAACAGATAACAGGACTGACATGCAGATACAAAACCAAACCCTCAGAATCAAAACCCAAAAACACAGCACTCAGGACAGGATCGTGACAGTTTGAGCCCATTCCCGTGGTTGGTGAACCATTCAAACACGTCATGGTCAACTGTGTAGGTCCTATACGTAAAACCAAAGCAGGTAATCAGTTCTTATTCACCATGATGTGTGTCACTACCCAATTCCCAGAAGCCATTCCTCTGCGTAGAATCACTGCCGTGTTAGTAACCAAAGCACTAGTCTAGAAGTTTTTCACTACATATGGTTTACCCAAGATAGTACAAACCGATCAGGAAACTAATTTCCTTTCCAAAGTCCTCATTGGGTATCCCTCACTCAGTGTCTAGTGCCTATCACCCCAAGTCACAGGGAGCTCT